ATCTTATTGTCAACAGTGGACAAGGTTGTATATGGAAATAGGTCACGGATGCTACTGTAGATTGACACTACCATCGATGTGTCATGGTCAATATCATTTTGAATACATGCCATTTCGAGCCCTTCATTAAATTTATTGCTATACGTCAGTAAACAGGGATCCATATTTTTGCAAATCGCTAGGGCGTTGGCTATAGCGAAATAAATACATTCATTTCCTCGCTGCTGTTGAACAGCCATCACTTCAATTGTGATGCTGTCACTATTGGTCCCATTGAGCTGACAAACTGCTGTTTGCACGATTTCAGGATAATTACTCGATAAAGGACTGACATACACTGATGAATGATTTTATTCAGGAAACTGATCCGAAATAGTTATCCAGTGATTTTTTCTGATGTTTATTATTTGAACAAAGGTATTACAGGATTTTATCGGGAATCCTTCCACTGTCGATATTATTACATCCTTCAGTCCTGATAAATGACGATATTTTATTTTCATTAACACCATTGCTGCATTTATAATTATATCATTTAAAAATAATTTATCCCGTATAATTTGTTGGTCAATCAAATCCAAATGAAGACATTCCAACCAATGGTTACTAAGAAATGGATTTTTTTTCAACAGAGAATCCTCTGGGGGTTTATCTAATTTTGTGCAGTCAAATCCGTTATCGATGAAATTTAATAAATGTTTTTTAGTTGGTCTTCCTATTTGTTTAGTTTCACCCAAAAGACTATCGTCATCTGTTGAGTACATTTTAGTGTTGTTTTCAACTTCGTGTTTTTCTTGCTCGGTTTGAGACACATCATGCCATGACGATTATATAATATGGTATTATCACTGGCAGTTTACGCGGTGTGACTCATCGTACTGAGCGTTAGGAATATGCTCCCCACCGCATCTCTGATTAATCTGCGTGGGTTCGCAGTTTCGAATCCAAAGCAGGGATGGTTATGTGCAAAAGAATTTCTGGCCTCCTTGCTGCCGTAGGGTGGTTCAAGTAACTGCTTGCCGGTTACAGCTTCCTCCACCATCAAGTTCATGCTTCCGAAAACAAATAACTAGCTAATCCCATACCCGACGACATAAAATGGTAACTGGACGAGCGGCCGTGGTTCGCCATATGGTTAAGTCGTCTTATCGGCTTTCTGCTCTCCCGGTATCAATAGATAAATCTATCTTATTTTAATTTTTTTTCATATATTGATTTGGCTATATATGCATATGACTTGGCAGTAATTGTACATCACCAAAATGACTGTATTTGGATATTAATTGGCTGTATATGGATATTCAGTTGGCGCTATTTGTATATTTAGTTGGCGCTATAGGTATATTTTTGGCAGTATATGTATGGCACGTTACCAACCCTATCGGAGATTTTCAGGTAACTCTAAGCTAACATTAAGTCAGCTATACACATATTACCTAAAACTGTAATAAATATTTCAAATATTTCAAGGATTTGTTTTCCTTCCCACTTTAACTAATATACCGTTTTAAGTATTTTTAATATACATGTCCTTTAGGTAAACATAGGTTGCGAAATGTTTGGGAACGCCGACAATGATACTAATGCAATGTGATTGAAGCACAGCCTAGACCAGGGGTGGGCAACTCCTGGCACGCGTGCCAAACTTGTCACGCGAGCCCATTTTTTTCGGCACGCGAGCGAATTCTCGGAAACGAGATCATCTCCTTCAGGAAAAAAGTTTAAAGACTGTGAATTATTTGATGAAACTAGTTGTTCATTTATTCATTATCGTATGTTAACAATCCGTTATCTATTTAAACTCTTTTTTCCCTTTCATGACATATGGCTACGAAAAATATATTATGGCGTTATAAATGAGTGAGCTCTCGAAAAATTTTGTCGAGAAGAGCGCAGCATTCATTTGGCTGCATTCTTACGTAATATAGTTTGTCTGTGCCACCCTTTTCTTCATTTAGGCTTGATTTATAATGTACAGCTGTACAGCTCATGTTAGTTAGAGTTATTTGCTAACTTACTGTTATAAATTGATTTCAAGAGAAATATAAACGATTAGTGAAGGGAATACAAGAGAGAAGTGCAGAAAATCAAATATTGCGTGATTGGGATGCCATTCCCGAAAAATTTTCGTGTCCTAAACACTTTGCAACTGCATTACTCTCCACGTTTTTATTACATATGCTTGTGAAGATTTGTTCTCAGTTATTATGAACTTTATTAAGTCTCGTAACAGAAGTAGCTTAAAAGATGAAACCAGTAGTTTGTGTATTTCTTTGAAAGTTACAAAATATGAACCCAATGTAAAATCTCAATCATTGGTAATGCAGCAGCAGAAGTCTTACTGATATTTTCTTGAATTGTGAATAGGGATGGCGGAATCGACTCCGGCCGAATTTGATTCCAAAATCGATTTTTTGTGGAATCGATCTCAGTGCATTGGATTCGATAATTAGGGTTAAAACCTAGATTGCAAACAAGGTATATTGTTTTGTGACAAGTTCTTCACATATATGTTCATATATTCATATATATATGTACAAACTGATATGTTGAGTTGCTACAACGCCGCAAACTTAACTATATTTCTACAGTGTCCTACTCGCTTGTTTGGGCGGGTTGAGGGCAAATGCAACATTTGGACCATTTCTGTACATTTTCTCTTATTTATTGCATTCATTACTCTTATTTACTTGAAGCAAGGTGCATCAAGAAAAGTAAAAAACTTGTTGCGGTTTGAAGTAGAAAATTTAACACCTCAGAGTTGGAACAGTCTGCAGTCTTACAGACCAGAATAGTAAAAGAAATAATGAAGCATGTACTGGAAATCTGATCAGTGATGGTATGGGCAGCTCTGAAGTGGCTGGTGGTGATATTGATGAATTGACCAGGGAGGTAGGGCAATGGCAGAACTCTTGTCATATCTGCGACCCACGATGAAATGTTTCAATGGTGGCAACAAAGCCAAAAAACGTATCCAAACATCGCAGTTGTCGTCCAAAAGTACCTCTGTGTCCCAGCAACATCCGCTGCATCAGAAAGAGCATTTATCTCGGAGGAGCTTTCCGTATCCAAATTCCGATCGAACTTACAGGAAAACGAATTGAACTTTTTAACATGACAGTAGGCTAATTGTTGGACACAAAGTGGACATTCAAATCGTTTTTATATTATATTTTTGTTAGAATTCAATTTTTTGTTCTTGTTATGAAAAAATATATTTTATCATTACCTACTGCACCAATTGCAATTATACTATAACTATACTAGAAAAGCTATCTTAAAGAAACGTTCGGCCAGCGGCTTCATCCAGATACTTGTATCTGGCCCGCCTGTAAAAAAAGTTGCACACCCCTGCTCTAAGGGATTCGCTTTTTTGTGTGTGATTTTGTCTACTGTGACAGATTGAATACCCATACTACTTAGTTGAGGCTTTCGTGTCCATATATTTGAACATCGCTCACTTGTCGCTCACTCCGGAGAATTTTGTCGTTAAATTTAGCCGATTTCGGCACGCGAGCCGAACAAGGTTGCCCACCCCTGGCCTAGACAAAACACAAATGATAAATTAAATTCAAATTTTTCTGATCTTTAGTAGTAAATCAAAAAATACAACACGAGAGTAATGAGAAAATATATATAATTGCTGTAATCCGTACACAGAGCTGGTCAAGTTTCTTTTAAAAGTTGAAAACAATTTTGTTGAAATATTACAAACCATATGTGTGGTTGTGTGATGTGATGTGTAATACAGCAGGTAATCAAACAAACGTACATAGTTTGTCAACATAGTTCACTTTGACAACACAAATGCTTAAAAACATTTTTATAGTTCCAATTTGGTTAAAAAGAAACGCAATGCGGCTGAAATAACTAAACATAAATAGCGACAACAAGCATCTTGAAATAGTGTACAGATATATCTACAAAATATTCCAAAAACACAAAGAACAATTTCCCCAAAACAAAGAACAGAATATAAAATTTCAAATTTATCACCGCCCAGCTTTGAATTAATACCCCATTCCTACCCCACAAATAATTATTAGCATCCGCCCCCAGCTTTGTGTGAATACTTCACCCCGACCCAACAACAATTTCAATAATGACGAAAATCTAATTGTACAAGCTCGGCCATGATGCTAGATCAGTGCTCTTCAACCTTTTTGTTATTGCGGAACCCCTGATATCATTTTTCGTTTTTTATGGACCCCAAATACCAAATATAAAAATAAAACATGAAATACTCGTAACACGAAATATTTGTAATTTAAATATTTCTACTTTAACAACAAAACAGAAAGAAGGTAACAAGCGTGAAATTCAATGACTATGTTGTTCTTGCATTGCCTTTGCAATCTACTTAAATCGTGGCTCCGCGGCGCTCAAAGCAGTTCTCATGTTAAACTCTTTAAAAACTTTTTTTTGTTTTTATTAGTTGTTAAAGCAGAAAATGCTGATTTACACAAATAGGGATTGGGAAATTTACACAGAAGTTTTAATGCTTCTTTTGCAATGGCTGTACCCTCTTTGTGAAGAGAAATCCAAAAATATTCCTTCCCATGTTTTTTAAAGGTTTCCTCCGAATTAATATCATTACGGATATCTAAGTGTTCTTCTTGCTGCATGTGTTACGGAACCCTAGGGTTCCGCGGAACCCCTGTTGAAGAGCACTGAGCTAGATCATAATTGTCGGACAAATCAAAAACATTACCTTATATGGTTTATATGTAATATGGTTTCATATTGTTCCGCTAATAAATATGTAATTGTGATGTTTGATGAAGACTTTAATTTTCAGCTTTAATTGCTTTTATTTTAATCAGTTAATTGTATCGACACGAATGACATTAGAATATGAGAGCTAGTAATAACATTATAAATACATGGTACTGACAAAAATGTATTCTTCATCCACGTTTGCGCTTCTCGTGCTAGTTTTCTAGCAACACTTGAACAAACATATACCAAAGATGATTACGAAATCTCTCTGAAATTATAAATAGGTACAGAAAAGTAATTATTGTAATTTTTAGCATTCGATTATCTGATACAACTCAGAATATACAGGAAAAAATAAGTTGTTTTTCAAGCGACTTTCAAGCTTCGAGTACAAGGTTAGCAAAATTGAGCAAATTTTCTTCTCTTTTTTGAATTTATCAGAAATTGCACTACTTTCTCCCACTCAAAGCACTAACTAAGTATTGAAAACTTGGAATAACCATTCTAGTGAGATCATATCTAGAATACCATTTATGTTAATTTTTTATACTAGTCTGTATCAGAATTGTAAAACTCGCTGCTTGAATACCTCCGTAGGTCTCTCGCGACTCCGGTCCCACAAATAACATAATTAATATATTTATTTATTGTATCAGTTTTCTATACACTTGTTTTTAATGATGACAAATAAACGATTGACTGACTGACTGACTATCAGACTGGTACACATACCAATATCCCAAAGAAAAGACGGTTCAATAAATGACACCAAACTATACTATTTGAAAGGAAACCGGTATATTTATGGTTTGAAGTTGCCTCCCAATTGAAATTCAGCAATTGGCGTGAATATTCATAGAAAAATGTTATCACAACAAAGTCTAAAGTTTGGGTCATATTATACGACTGTTCAATCAGTTTTAGAATTGACATTTTAACATTTCTCTCTGGTGATAAATTGAATTGAGGTATCTAGAGTCATTTAACAAACAATGAGAAAAAGAGTGAAAATACCACCTATTACGACTGATAAAAGATGCTTCCTTGAACAAAAAAACGTCTGCTTTTCATGTTTGCCTTGCTTTGCCATCATTTTTAACTTTTAACTGCTGTTCAATGCGCATTAATTTCATTGCGTTGTTAATACATAGTAACAGGTATATTCTGTTTCAGTGATGCCGATATGAGGTGAATTAAATAATAATTCATTGTTCCGTTTTGTTCTCCAACTCGGCAAAAAGTCATTTATTATGGTTCTTTTTAGGCTTGAAATTTACTCCGCTGTCGGCCTCACTATCGTCGAATTATTCATAATCTTTCTTCATTCTCTGTCTGCTTTAATTCGTGTCTCCCGTTTTCAACCGTATACACTAAAACAAAATGATCGAATAGATGTGATCCCGAAGTATGCGAACCAAGATGGCGGACATCGGAACGTAACATGGGTAACAGGTTAGGGTTAGGCGATAATTTTTTTCCAATTTTCCTTATTTTAGTCCTATTATCGGTTTGAAGACTAGCCAAGAGCCTCCCGTAGTATTCATACCTAAAATTATGGCCTAACCCTAACCTAGTACACATATTACATTCCGATGTCCGCCATCTTGGTTCGCATACTTCGGGAGCCCCCAAATAGATTATATATTTCTGCATTGTGACACATATTACACAACACGCTAAACTATTATATCAAGCAAAATGTTTTTTTATAAAGTATCGAATAATGTATTAGTATTGTAAATTGTATTTTTTTTTATCTTTAAATATATCATAAGTATTGCATATCTTTGGAATGCCATTGCAACTTGAATGTGTCAGATTTTAACGAAATCGAAAATTTTTACCTGCATGTCTTTCCTGGCCAGTGTTGTTATTCTTGATTGCTTTTCTGACAATCAATCTTAAAAAAAAAAAATTTGAAAGATTCAAATAAGTCAGGTTCTAATATTCAAATCAAAAATGCTACTTACAATTTGTAGATGACGTATCCCAATAATATCAACCAAAGCACCCCAAGTATAATACACAATACAAGTAAAAACATGTTGGTCTGACAATCTAAAAAAAATGAAAAAAATGATTTGTTTTATTACAAGTAGTTTAAAATTGTCTGTTTGGTATTTTTAAGTCAATAGTATTTGATTGGGAAGGTTTGTTCGACAATCTAGCGTTTCCTTTATTTGTTACTATTTAATAATGCCAATTGACTTATTTCTCTTCTCATCCAGGAATTCCTATCCACACTTTAAAATTTTCAGTAAAATATAACGATTTTTGTGATTAAACATTGGCATTAAAAACCTCAAATTCGTCGAATTTATTTGTAAGCTCAGATTCTCTCGATGAAATCATACAGCATATTTCAACTTTTTGTCACCTGAATGAATTCGTATTTTTAAGATATCAAAATGAATAAATAGTTATTTTTTAGTAAATATTTCTATTGATACGAACTCGGCCCTTAGGTATTACCTGTTGAAGTTGTCTTGAGACTTTTTGTTTTTGATGTTCCAATAGATATATGACTAGTGTTTTCTGATTTTAAATCAGATGATGATGGTGTGCTTGAAATGGAGGGCGTAGTGAATGAAGGACTACTGATGGAAAATATATTTAATATGAAAAACAACATACAATAACTTTAGCAAGCTGGATATTTAATAGGAAAGTACATTTGTTGTTTATTACAAACACTGAGAAACAAAATGACAGAAATGGTTTTTTTCGGTTTTTCGTTTCAAATTTTTGTAACACAGTTCTAAATTAAATAAAAATAGGAAAAAGAATATCACAATATAAAATATTGTATGGTAGGAATATTAAATATTAAACATACGAACTGAATTTATATTTTAGTAACACAGTTATTAAGTTATCCTCTTTTTTTCAAGCAACCCAAATTTTTTGAAAAATAAACTTTGTAAAATCCCACGACCTAAGGATATGTCCAAATACTAAACGACATGTAGTTCTTTTAGGCCCGAAAAATTTAATTACTGACACAAAACAATCATTTTTGGCCTGTCAGCCATTAGCGAGTTTTCATGGCATGGCATTTTTGCGCCATGATGCTTCTCATATATATATTGAGCAACGCACCAATACCAAATAAAAGATCAACAAGGAAAATTACTAGAAAATGAAATTAGTAACTTCTGGAATTTTGAAAAAAAAAAGCGACCCCAGAATATTTTCAGGAGACCCTGTTTTGGATCGCGACATGGTTGACAAGGTTGACATGGAATGTTGACATTGAATTAAATATTCGTTAGAAGTCAGTGAGGAAATAGAAAAGGTTAGAATAAGATAAATTCGTAAAACAATATGGAGTTACATTGGAAGTTAAAAGAATCAATCCTACTAACATTTTTATATTTTTTACAAATAAACATAAATAAAATAAATAATTAATTTTTTTATTGCGAGTGGAATGCTCCCAAATAAATATATTTTTTTCAATTTTGCTTTTGTTAAGTATAGGAATAATCGTTCTTGGGTCAGTTGATCGTCATATATAGAAATAAGGTACTTACGATTCATCCTGATATTGCTTTAAACTAGAAAAATGCTGATGATTCTGATCTGGATGCAATGTTGGGATTGTGCTCGGATATACACCATACGGCAGTACTAAAATTCAAAACAAACAAAAGAAAATATTGAGGAGATTAGTTTCGGTGCTTCAAAGTATATTTCTATTACTGCCTTTTGTCTCTAATATGATTTAAAAAGGCAAGACAAAATTTATTAGCTTATCGCAATTTCTTTTCGGGCAAAACTATGGAAGTTACAATTAGATAAGATAACATATATGTTCTAACATCGATTATTGCTTTTAGAACAACAATCAATAGGTGATAATGGCCTTCATGTGAGATTTTAATTTAGATTTTTCTTTAAGCCTCATGTAATTCGGTTTCAGTGAATTTGCGTTAGGCTTTTTACCACATCTGTTTTTTAACTGCCTGGGGTTTGCAACTTTTAGAATATGGCGTCACCGAACGGATGTTTTGTTGAGAGATCCGTCACTCCGAGTCTGTTCGTTTGTTTGTGGTTCTATTCTTTGTATTAACTTTTCAGTTATTCATCAAATATTTTTAATAAAGTAGTGATGTTTCTGATATTAACCTGAAAGATCCAGAAATCCTTTCACTGTATGTTCAGTTCCATTGAAATAATTAGTAGCGTGACAACGATATCTACCGGTGTCATCTAACACGGCGTTATTTAGAACAAGAGTAGAGGCACCCTAAAATAATATAAAATAAAATATAGTCATTGATATTAATAATAATCAGGAAAAGTGAATTATGAATGGATCTGGATAATTCCAACACCAAACGAAGATTTATAAGCTTTTCACTATGTACAGGGAATTGTACAACCAGACACTGCTTTGTAATAAGATACTATAATTTGAAAAACCGGAATATGTCCTGATCGACATTGACTACTCAGTATACCACACCCTAGTTGAGATTGTGGACATAGAATTTAAACAGCCTGTGATGCAAACTTGGTTACGTCCACCGCTCCAATTACTGGGTCATTGCGCCACCCATAAAAATTATTTTCTGATTAATTTCATAAAAATATAATAAGATCATATGAAATTACACTACTACCTGTTATGTATTGAAGACAAACTAGCAATGGAAAGGTCGGCCAATAAATACGACCATAAAATAACAAACATCTTACATTTTCGAGTATTTGATGCAAGCTGTGGTCTGTGTTTTCTTCAATTATTCGTTCATACCTTCCCCATCTAACTTCTGGTGTAGGGTAACCAGACGCGGAACATTTAATACGGAGGTTGCCAGTAACTGCAATGATCGGTCGTTCGTTTTCTATCTTCAACTCGTGAGGTAGTACTAAAGTTGGAAAAATGCTAGTGTTCAAATGGCTTTATATGCAGATACAGCATCTTTAATGCCAGAAAGAGCACATCTTTATCAGACAATTATTCTCAAGTTTAGCTCAGAACAAAGTTTTGTACTGCCAACACAACTCAATGCACTCTGTGTGTGTGTAAGAATGGGAATTGAATTCAAGATGGGTAACCTGCGATACCACAATTTTAAGGCCGACGCTTAAAATCTGAAAAAGGGGAGTTAAAGTACTCCTGTATATAAGTATATAAGGTTATCATCGGCAACTTTATGAACCTGATATGCTTAGAGTAAACAGATACCGGGCTGACGTAATGACAGGAAAAGTAAAGAAAAACACAGTGGCTACGATGTTCATAAGAGTTCAAAAAAGTATTGATATACGTTTTCCATAAAAGCACAAGCATATTAACAAAAAGATAAAATTTTCTCACTCGATTCGCACACGTAATGCAATGAAGAATTACAGTCGTATTCATCCCAGCCGTTGTATCCCAACCCCAAACATTTATTTGAAGAATTGCTGAATGAGTTTTTCCCGCCTATCCAGTATACGGTAGAGTCAGATCTGAAAAAATCAATCAAAATTTAACAACCCAAAAGTTATAGTCAAACATTGTTTTTTAATATTAATGTTAAACAATATCTGAATTTTAAAGGGCGCTCCCGTAGTATTCGTACCAAGATGGCGCACAATCTGCTAACCCTAACCTGGTACACATACTATATTCAGTTTGTGCGCCATCCTAGTACGAATACTACGGGAGCACCTATTAACGTGCGCTCAAGTTTATCCGTATAAGAAAATTAGTCTAATTCGGAAAGTTTTGCCTCGGAGGGTATAGTAAAAATCAGTTTTCGACTGATTGGCATGATTGACTACTGATTCGCTCTTGCTCCGTATATAATTTTTATACGCTTGATGGATTAAACAGTATTGATGTATGCGATATAAGTCAGTACCAGGGTTGCATTCATATTTAAATCCATTTGGGCATATCATCACCTGTAGATTGCTAATCGCAGTAACAAAATTTAAAATTGAATGTTCAAAAATACTAATTATTTTATCAATTATGCATATCATTCACAGATTTTATTCTTTTATTAAGTTTCGTATGACCAAAACCACACTTTCTTAGAAAAGCAGTTTACAACCACGAGAAAGCGCTTTTCAGAGGAATCTTGAATTTAGTCTGCTGACCAAAAGCTACAGAATAAAATTTGTGAAAGTGGGATGTAAGAACTTCAACCAGTCAATACGGTCTTTTCACTTTTGCAGTATTTTTGCAGTCAGGTTACACCGAATAAAAGGAGCCGTATCTATGCATTTATTTCGAAATATCATATACTCCTAAATTCTAATATGGAGCACCCTCGGGCATCAGCAAAATATTTATTGTTTGTTATTAAGCGGTCGTGAAAGTGTATTATATTACAAAATTGTACTTCAATTTCAGCTTGTCGGTAATAATACAATTGAATCGGCCTGGGGGTTCAAAAACAAATACTATAGGACTTTTTTTATGTCTTAACTGTGCCAGTGGGTTCTACGGACTGGCTTTTGAGTTTCTTTGAAATGTAAGAAGCTTCGCCCAGCTTATATCTAAGGCGGTGCTTGCAACTATGCATTTCGCCTAACAAAAGATTGCATGCAATATTATGACAAAATTGAATTGATTAATTTATGCTGCATTCTAAAATCAACTGAAGCAACTGCAATAACTGCAAAAAATGGCGTAATCTCATGAATATATAATACGCGTTTTTATATTACCTGTTGTTGTAGAATTTTCATTCTCTCAAATCCCCGTCGCTCAGTATGAAAAATGATAAACCAGCTATAGTTGAGTGATTGTATACGAACAAATTTGCATTTACATATAAATATTCTCATAAATGTGATCAACATAGCGTTGTAATCAATAATAATAAATGAAACAAGTGCTGAATATTAAAGAGTCAAATAAACCTTTTAGATTTCCGTCGAATTGCCTCAAATATACGAACGTGGTCAATTTCAACAAGCCTTCCTTCACTCTGACAACTTTTAACCGCATCCCAGTACGACATCGTCCGGTTGCCCTCGGAGGGAAGCTCATCACTGAAGATCACCGAGGCCGTGAAATCCGAGGTTAAAGCTTTTCGCATATCTGTGGATGACATAATTTGGTACAGTCTCTGAAATTCTATTGTGAAAATGCTCAAAATGATTTTTTTGCAGCAAGCGTATACTTGTAATTGATTGTAAAATATTATTTTTTTAATCACCAATTGCATTTACTCATTTTACCTACAATTAATCTCTATTAATTAAGGTACTTGGATGTAATCAATCATAATCCATATTCAAATATACCCACACTTGGTAAAATTCATAAAAGACATGTTAATACTCTGATCCAACTTGATATAAGCTTAAGTCCCATCTTGTCCGTGAAAATGATTTACCAGATTGAAGGCCGATTTAGGTCAAACATACCTTTTTCTCTGAATCCCATAAAGCAGTTTGCAAAATGCTTATTCCCACACACACAAATTTCAAATTACAGCTTAACTCCTCATGCTTTATATTAAATTTTCACATATTAGATTTACCAATTTGACAGATATATCCCTTCTTCTCGTCGCAAGGTGCATCAAACCATGTCATGGGAGGTAAGTGTGGAGTGCCATAATGGTTAATAGCGAGACAATTTTCGTCAATTCCTCCGTTCGGTTCGTCGTGTTTCCTGTGTTATTTAATAACGCTCAGAGTTAGATTACCACTCGCAGAATTCGAAGTAAAACAAGAGAACACTGATCAACTATATGAAGCGCATAAATAAAAGTATTAGCCTTCTAGGGAAAAATACAATCTCTAATCACTGAAAAATTCAGTTGGTCCAATAATTAAAGATAAAAGCGATTTTTCATAACGACAGGAAAAATTTTTTAACAAAAACATGACAAACAACAACATAATTACAAAACGATCCATACGTTCATTTTGTGTCCGGTAAGTTTACCACAGAATACCTTGCATTTAATTTCATTCTTTCCTTACACATAAACTACTACCACTTGCATTCAATTTCATCCCTTTCCTTTACATAAAGTACTACCAATGTTTCTCTCATGACACTGTAGTCGTATAAGTTTTTTAGGATGAGCATTAAAACAATTCTTTTCTCACATATATCACCGCCAAGTTTCATTACATGCAAGTTTTCTCCATCGTAATATTTGCTATAAATTTTTGTAACTGACATAATAGATTGATTTAGTCGTTTTCAAACCAACGTTTCCCAGTCGAGGAGGAATTCCTTTCAAGGGTGGATTTTGCCCTGCTGTGGTATTACTAATATTCGGTGATTCCATTTTGTAACTATAATTCTTCTTTATGCACACATCATAAACATTTTTAACTATACGAAAGTGATGATGCGATTTGCGCATAACAATAGATAAAGATCGTTTAAAGATTGAATAAACAAAGTACCGATGCTTTTTTAGGTATAATGAGGGGGAATAAATGGGTTCAAAATAGTCGATTGGAGGGATTTATCGAAAAAGTTAGGAACCACTGTCATTATTGATTATTGAGGGTTGAACTCAATTCAAATGAAATTGCAGTTGTTTACCAGTTGGTATAGTTCACATCTATAGGAGTTCCATCTATCCATGTCCAATAACCATCATGGTGGATGTCGGTTCCACCGATCCAAGCCGCGGGAAAAGCCCTGAAAAGGACGAGATACTAAATGCATAACGCATTCATATAAATTTTCATAGAAAATTGTGCATGTCAGTCTCTCCCTATTTAAAAAGGCGAAATATTTTCAAGTGTATTTGTATTTCGGATACACATTTAAGGAAAATTATAAAATTATCAATGCTGTTGTCGATGTCAGGTTGTAAACGCATTAAGATTTTTATTTCACTGCCATGTTAACATCACGTGTCAGAAAATAGTTTCATGACATAAATGAAGATTTCAATGGTTGTATAGTTATTAAAACGATGTCACAACATAGACCATATTAGCTTAGTTTACTTTGTGTCATTATATATTATTGAATCGAAATTATAGTCCATAAAGTTCTTTTACAATTTCAATTTTGTTATGAAGTCAGTCAGTTCTCAAATATCTTAACCAGGTTCGTTGTATTTTTTTCTGTAATTGTTTTTAGTATGTAGTATTTTCACTTCATTTAATACATCTGCGAAGGGCAAAACAATAAAATAATGATATCGATAAATCCCCTTTGCAATTTTGAAAAATGTTAGGACTTCATGGACGCCTTGTATTTACACAAGATAAGTGAATACTAAGTCAATATTTATAATGCTTAGTTCGGGAGCTCTTACAAATAAACCAATAACGCTGAAGATACCAGAATGCAAGAAGGTCTCCCACAGCTTCGTTCACATATTTTTCCTCAATGACGACGAGACGAGCTCCCTGTCTCCAAACTGTACAAAGAGACTGTGCTTGATAGAACGATACGTTGTCTTTCTCTTCATGAAAATAAGTCAAAGCATAGTTTCCAGAATATAACGTTGAAACCTTATCTTTCATCACATCTGAAAGTGAAAGAGCATCATTAGAAGATGTTTGTTTTCTAACACGGAGCTCTATTCGGAAAGCTTGAGCAGCGCCTTATTTGGAGTATGAAGGCGTGAAAACACCGAATCTATAACGAATTCGGCTATTGTCTTGAGGACATTGAAATAATGCAGAAATTGTCAACAACCAACGTTTATTTTGTTAGAATATTGAGACGACACTTGAAGATTTGAACCTATTTTCCCTATTTTTCATTGATCAAATGATTTTAAAGCCCTAACACTGCTATTTAATGGATACATTGAAAGCAATTTACACAAATTTTTTTCTTCATATTGCTTTTGCAAAAACGACGAAATATATCAGAGAAGGTAGCTTGTCAGCATATTTATACTCTCCGCCACATACAACACCACATACCTGTGGTCGGAGCGTATATACTTAAACAATACGACAAGTCCAAAATGATGTTACAAAGATCGTATCCAATATCGCGTTTAAAATGCTAAAAATGAGTGCGTAATTATTACGAGTACTTCCCACGCTGAACTGCTTTGGAAAATTTGCCTCAAGGTGGGCACGATGGCCTGCAAATAAAGTGTTGGGGTCAAAACGGGTTTACAGCCTAAGCTCAGCCCCTCATATTCATAATTTAATTAAATGGGTAGACAAGACAAACCGAAAAACAGCCTTTAGCGCGTCAGTAGCTGCTGCTTGTAAAAGGCCTTGTTCGAAGTAAAATCGTGTGATGAAACATAATAATTTAAAATATTCCTTATTAGTATTTATTACAGTTATCAAACGTTCACCTACCTGGACCAGTCATTATAAACGTGTCAAGTACTGGAATAACATCTGGACAAGCTATCTTCCACAAAGTCACTAATATAACTATCTTGCTAAACATTATGTACTAATACCCTGCGAAAAAATACTCCTAAAGTTCATAAATCTGCATATTGAATATCAAATATCTGTGGTAAACCTCCTCCTTACATTTATTCGTTAAAAACAACCCCGCTAACTATTTATACACGGCTCTGCTATCTCTATTCCTGGCAATATTGTAATCATACTGTTTCCTGTATATTTATCTTTCCAAGTGTCTTATACCATTAAATTCTGCACCAATATGTCGGTAATATAACACTGTAATGATACGGGGTCGGATACAGAGCAATCAAGGTGTAACCTTACTTACACCATGTATCTTACCTATTGTTGTTTATAATTTTAAGACCATTAAAATTTGAAAACCTGGCTAGCCGCAGGACACATATATATAATATGAAAAACTAATTTGGAACCGCAAAAAAATATAGAAAAGTATCATGGAATAATAGGTGGCATTATTCATGATAAATTTATTTGAAAAAGTCATTATTAAAGATTGAGAGTAAAGTGAACCATTTTTTCCATAATCTGTGGGAATCCAAGCAACAAACCCAAATGTCTGTTATTAATATAGAATATTTAGAAAAAAGATAAATGTTTCACATTTAACAAGTAAAGACAATAAACTATAAATTTCATAATTACAAAGATGACTCGTTGGATTTTTTACTTTACCGCTGTTAAGTTTTTTGGTTACTACTTATTCGCTGAGATAGTTATCGGATTTAAATTCGTACTGTATTTTTAATGTGGTTCTGTAATCCATACGCTTACTAGCGTAACTCAGATTTGACAATTTCGATAATCTCGATTTTGCTTTACTCAATCAGGATTGGGTGGATCATGGTGTCTGCTAAACTGTGCGATGCAACTGCTTCACTCATTTCTCAAGTTTTAGACGGAGTTCCGTGAAACACTGGTGTTCCGTGAAAGTCATTCATGTGTCCGTGTCAACTCTTCGTGAAACCTTTTTTTATTATTGGTATATTTTATGATATAAAATAATACAAATTTGGAATAAAATAAAAGGTTACGTGATCATGAGTATTAACTGAGCAAACTCGGATCCCCAGAATTTCCAGAGATTGATTCATCATTAAGATTTTGCCAGCAGTTTGTCAACCATATTACAAAAAGTAGCGCACCGCACATTATTAACTCGGATCCCCAAAATAGTTATGAATAAAAAATAGAAACTGGTCATCGTTGAAGATGATCTGAGTGTTTGTCTTTCATTGGTATCTGGTAGAATAGGTGACTTGTTACCAATTACCTTAGTTATGAATAAAAATAGAAACTGGTCATCGTTGAAGATTATCTGAGTGTTTGTCTTTCATTGGTATCTGGTAGAATAGGTGACTTGTTACCAATCAAAACAAGCGCATAAATTCGAATTTGTTTGGTCTTTTTCCAACTGAAATCTTAAGCTACTAATCTTTTCGCCATTTCATTTTATTTCCCAAAACTAATCGAGATGGGAATTAAGACGAATAATAATTATTTGAATCGAATATTTCCAGAAAATATAAAACCTTTTATTTGGTGTTATACGCAAAAAAATTAAGGTATGAAAAGTGTCCCGTAGTTCAAACAAGTTTGAAAATCACAGTCTTAAGTAACTGTTTCAGGGTAAAATATTATCAACCTCAAGCCTAAAAATCTTGTACTCACCCTAACACGCACTGATTTCGTCTTGTTTGAATCAACCCAAAACCTAAATCAGTGATGGTTCCTATTTACTCTACAGCAGTGGTCCTTAAACTTTTTAAGCCGCGCCCCGTTTTTAGATTTTGTCTAGTGTCGCGCCCCATCTCGAAAATACCTAGCTAACAATAAGCTGCAAAAAATAGTTAGTAAGGTAAGGTATGCTTTATTCGAAAACGTTTTGAAAATACGTGGATGGAATGTGAATATCCAGAATAAAGAAAAGTAAATAATCAAAATAAGGCGGACGAGATCGAATCTAACAAATCTACCCCCACGCCCCCTCAAAAAATTGTCTACGCCCCTTTGTGGGCCGCGACCTACTGTTTGAGAACCGCTGCTCTTCAGTAAACCCCTCAATCGTAAAATTTCACAAAATTCTGGTTATTTTATTTCAAGCATTATGTCACAAATTACATTTCAAACAACATCACTTACATTTAAAGCAAAAAAGTTGAGATTTCAAGTTTAAATAATAGTAATTAAGAAGCAATTAAGATCAAAGCAACAAAATAGCATTCCGGCTAAAAATTCAATCATACACCATATCGGTGTTATTGGAAGGCGGTTGATTTAAAATGCCTCAGGTGTAGCGCGGCAATACATATTTATGTTGAACAGAATGTGGTAATTTATATTGCATAATTATTGCTTATTTCAGTAATCTTATCTTTGTTGTGCCTATTACCTGACAGCAGTAATTTATTTGATGTATCATACTTTGCAGCAATACATATATATATTGTCCATAATGTCGTAATTTATATTTCATATTTTGTGCTCATTTTGGTATTCTCAACTTTTAAAAAAAAGTAATTTATCTGTAGTGTCATACTTTTATCTGAGTCATATTCTGTTGGTGCTTTATCGTTCGTGTACTGCTATAAGGTGCTGCTAACATTTTATTGAACTGAAGTTTAATATATATATATGTAAAATTCATGCAGTCGTTTGCAAAGTGATTAACTGAACGTAGGTTGAGACAAAGAATATTGAAATAAATTTACTGATTTGATTTGGTGAAAATTATACTTTGAATTTCAACTTAATTTACAAAAATTATTACAGTTTTAATATGAGGTAAGAATGAATTTTCCTTGTATATATCAATCAATACAATCATGACCTAAAATCTCAAATAAAAAAATTATGGTAAAAATCAACATCGAATTCTTTAACTCTTTTGCTCTTGTTCCAGGTAAAACACTAAAAAATAAAGAAGTCAACTGATTAATATAAATATTTGATGGTAATTGTGTCATAATTCAAACAATAACTTGGAATCTGCTTTTTGTTTCTGATCAGACACTGATATGTAACGATATGTAAAGATATTATTTTTGAGAGACCAATATCTTTCAGCTTGGCACTGCCCACCCTTTCATTACATCCTGGATGATCTGAGCATGGAATTTGAACCCGAGATGTGAGATCTGAGATGCCAACATAGTCAGGTCAAACAACTAGTGAACAACGTGATATCGTTTTTTTCACTCTACTAATTTATAGACGCACTATATGAATTAACTTTTCAGCAATTCTTTGTCTTTGAACTACTTGAAACAATTAAAATTTGGTAAATGGTTAATCTGTATATTTAAATGTAACATGTGGTATAATTCAGAAGCAGCTTCAGAATTCATTATTTGAGCTCCACTTTAAAAATTAATGACGAGCATATTGTATAACCCATGTACAATCAACTTCTTATATTATATTCCGGTGTGTAGCAAGGGAAGGGTCTTCGAGGGTGCCCCCCCCCCCCTTTTTTTTTAGCAATTTTTGTCGCTTGAAACGCTAGACTCTCAACGCAGACGCCCTCAAGACTTGCAAACCCACGTTTTCGGGCCAGCTAACTGTTAGGTTCTAACTTGGCAATTGGAAATTTCACGAACCCCTAATTTGAGAATACCAACACAATTCTATTATTTATCACCTTCGTTGTTGGTGTAACCACGTATTTCAGTCTTGAGTTTAGTAGACGTCTGTGCGGAGATCCTCCTGTAAAAAACGAATTTTATTTTTTGAATAATAGCATGGGTTAATCAAGGGCGCCACTTTGGTATGCGATCTCAGCGTAATAAAACTACTTAGGTACATGATCTCAATCGTATACCAAAGTGGAACTTTTACTATGCGCTCAATCGCATAAAGACATTCTCACAGAATTTATTTATTAGCCCAAACCCCACCTCTGTCATCGCTAGATCCGGGTAATATTGAAATCTCTGAGATCACACAATCGCTGAGATTGCATACCAAAGTGGCGCGTATAAGCAAGTTTAACATGTGAAATATTACCTTTGGTAAAAATTGATGTTTATTTCTTCCAACCAGTAAAAAAGTTTTATAAAATATACAAAGAAAAAAGATAATCATATATTTCAACTGGGGAAAGGAGGAGGAACCCGAGCATATATCGTTTGGATTATTTGAGAATAAAAACAAAAACTTAATGTGATAGTTCTGAGTCGCTCTACACTGCCTACAGCATCTGAACTCCCTTAATTGTAATATATGACTTATAACAATAACATTTACGATTATTTTTTACATCTAAAATATTACCTTTGGCAAAGAATAAAGACGAACTGAAGTATTAGAACAACGAACATTGTAATAAGAACAGGAATTACCCATCCGTAATCTGAAAAAAATGAGTACAGCTTGCAGTTTTCATTTCTTTATTAATTTTCAACTGCACAGAAAAAGCAAAAAAAAAAATATATAAATCTAATCGTCCACATTTTATTCTATTGACAATCGATATGATTTGTCAAACAATCTCTGCCCTGCTTATCATTTGTGAAAGTGGCAAGAGTATCACCGGAATAATTTTTTTAATTAAGGGCGGGTTGCATGGCTATTCGTAGAAAATAAGAGATAATCTTGGTCACTGGGCATTGATTTAAAAAATTTAATAAAAGGTAGGTATTGGTTTCGGAATTGCATGCCCGCTAGTGTATAGATTTATAATTTACTATTGTATGGAGATCAGCTAAATTCGGGCGAAAGTATACTCAACACCTCCGCAATGAGACAAACAGTATAAACATCATATATATTATAGCAGAAGTGTGTCACATAGTTTGCCGGTGGGCCATATAGCCAGCTTCAGACATCTAGCTGAGCCACACAATTAATTTGTTTTTCCATGTACACAACGAATTAAAACATTAGCGACAACCAGAGCGACTCGGAAAAGTCAAGAAAAGAGAATGAAGGGGCCGGAAAAAACGGCGAAAGATTTACCGCAGCGACAAGAGCAAAAATCATTATGAATGTTTACCTATGTGAGCGACGTTTTAAACATAAACCTTCGGGTTAGAAGTTTATGCTTGATGGGGCTGTTGACAAAGGGCTACACTATATGATTTGGCGGGCCGGGTTGTGGCCGTGAGACGCTTGTTGCACATCCCTGCATAATAGTAATAGTACAAATATCAATCCTGTCTTATTTGGAAATCGATGTATATTAATATAGGTTACTCACCAGCACAAGCATTTTCTTCTGGGTTGTTCTCACTAAAAAAAAAGGCGTTTATATATTTTGACAAAACAAATATAATTCCAACACAAAGTGCAAAGTGACCTAAAAATAACAAATGGATAGTTTAAACCAGGAATGGACAAGATTTTTGGACCAGCGGCCACCTACACTGGAGGGCCTTGTAAGTGTGACGTTGAAAAGACATTTTATGAACAATATTTACAGTGTCACAAAAGCTAAAATGGAAAACAATAAGCCTCGTGACATAACTAAATTTAATCGCAATCTCAACAAATTCATTGAGTCATTTTGTAGCTAAAACATCCAAATTTGGTTTTAGCTTGGTTGTGGAAGAATCAGGTGGGCCAGATTGAATGACCGAATGGGCCGAATTTGGCCCGCGGGCCGTAGTTTGCCCATGTCAGGTTTAAACTGATGTACCAGATTATAAACACTGTTAAACAAAAAATCACAAATAAGACAAAAATGCATTACTTACATATTATGTTCATTGTTCTCCCCTCCATCAAATTCCTGCTCCAAACCTTTGATCTTGTCATATTCTGGGATTGGTTCTCCAAGCGGAAGCACTAAACAAAAAAGCAGGAAACAATATTTGTTACTCTATCTTCATATGATTTTGGTGGCCTATATAGTGAGCAAAACGTTAGACTTAACTATTGTTGGTACCACAGGGTAAAATCGATTTTAAACTGCACGGCCAGTAATTAACAGAGTAGACAATGCCGAACCGATGAGACTTATTGAGAGACTTGTTCCGACCAGGAGCCGGGTTAATACATAATATAATAATAATATACATAACATTGGCGGAAGTAAAGTTTGGGACCCTGATATGTGTATAATATGATATGATTTTAATAAGTATCCCGAGGAGAAGCACCATGACTTCTGACAGATTACCAGTCCAAGTCGGGTATGAGAATAGCTTCTCGTTGTTTCCTGTTTATGTTCTTGAATGGCCAAATGAGCCGTAGTTAAACAAAGATATTGTGAACCACCGTGCAGCGACGTTGAGTCAGCCAGACATCTCGCATAAAAATCGGAATTTGAATCTGCAAACATACGCAGGTATTTATCGATTCTGTGGAAAGGGTGTTCCTAACGCTTGGGTCTCTAGAATATCGGATTCACACTCCTTGCTTGTCACCTCATCAAGAGTTGTTGGGTAAGCAATACAAAACCGAAAGGATTCCGGTCCTGTTAAACCTCCGATTCTCAACCAATCGGCGTGGCGCAGTGCTGGGTCACAGGAATAGTGACGTACATGAAGCTAATCTTCATTTGCGTCACTATTGTTAAATTTTGATTGTAGTAGCAATGAATGATGAAGCTGTTTCTGCTACTAAGTGGCAATTTTTCATTCTGATTATTGAATTGAAAGTATCTATTTTTGCAAAAATATTTTTCTGTTTTTCTTAAACTTTTTTCTCGCATGAAAACGTTAAAGGGCCATTGAATTTGTGGGCAACAAAATTTGCCAGGAAGAAAAAAATTAAGAAGCGCTGTTTAAATCATAGTATCTATGCCTACCAAGAAGTTAGTTACCGTGTTCGGGTGAAAGACATGTATATGCTTCGTATAATAAATATATAACCTCAGTCGAAGTAAAGCCCGTGTGCCGGATATGTGTATAATGTAAAGGATAGTATAGAGTAATAATATTTATCCTAGGAGAGATAAGCCGTTGAGACAGATCAATTATGTGACACATAAAGCCTCTCTCGCCGATTATCAGTCCATGTTGGGTATGGGAATAGCCAGGCTTGCCCATGGGACATATTTTTCTGTCCCATTCCCACCCCATCTCATAGCAATTATGCCTCTCCCATCCCATGGGATTCCCATTGGAATAAAATTCAATTGCTAAATTTAGATATAGCGTATAATAAATAGAACTACATTTACGAAGAGACATGCAAAACAACAAAATTTACGAACTTTTTATTCATAACTATTGTACATGTGTTCATCAGCCCCTTCACGAAGTGTATTGTTAATGCTTAATATATTTTATAACCAACGAGATAGCTATGCTCAAATATATGGACACGAAGTCCATAACGAAATATTTCACCATCATAGAATCCCATTCTCATGTACAAGCCAGGGCATAGCTTTGCTACTAATTGTCTCATGTTTGTGTTCTTGAAACGTCGAAGTGACTTGGCCGACCAGCCCTAAAATGAAACCACCGTGTGGCGGCGTGATGTCAATATGACCTTTCGCACGAAAATCAGGAATTCAATTGTGCAAACCCACGCAGGTTTCTCAGCTTTGCGATAGGTGTTTGTTTGCAACGCTTGGTTGGAAAATCGATGAATTGATTATCATGTAAATAATCCTTGGCTTGTTAACCGACCGAATTCAGAAATGTACTCAATTACGGGGATTGTTAAATGTTCATGGGGCATGGACCAATAACAATTTCGAAGAACAAAGTTAGAAAGCTATAACATGAAAATAAAAAGGGCATGTGACACCATAAATATTTTTCGAGGGATAAATTTAGAAATCGGTGACTGAATATTTAGTAATTTAAATGCTGTATATATTCTAATAATATTCTGCAATAAAATTAGAAAAAAGGTGAGAACTTTTTACAAAACCGCCGCGAGAACCACACCCCCGCGCTTAAAATAAGAAACTAGTAAGAATCCAGTTAGGGTCAGGGTTAGGTATGCAAGTTGCGCTGAATTTCTTTTTTTTTTATTTGGCAACTTGGCGAGTGTGTTTTTTTTTCGAAGTTCACATTTCTGCATCAGTGGGGTTTTGTACAAAAGATCAAAAGACATACAATGATACCGAACCTTTTAGTTTCGAAAATCCTTCTGTCCATCCTTTGGTGCCATTTGCATAGTTGATCGCGTAGCATCTATAAGTTTCAGCATCATCTAGTCGAGCATTGTTAATTAGAAGAGTAGATTTTGCTGATTCAGCAGATTGGTGAATCCGCTCATCAGTTTTATCAGTGATTCGTTGATTGTCTTTGTACCACGCAACATCGGGAAGTGGAAAGCCGTCGGCAGTGCATTCGATTTTGATATTTCTGGCTTCCGATATAATGATGTTCTGGCTTGACATTCTCAAAGAATGAGGGCGAACTGATAAAAATGAAACGTGTCTTATAAAATTTCAAAAAAATTTTAGCGTGAGGGCGTTTGAAATGAAGTTAGGGAAAGAATTGGCAAATATTTTTAAGAATGTCGTCGTAATGAAAATTCTGCCATTTTTTTATGTTTTGAAAAATAATACCGCCAGGATGTACATTCATTTATGTTGCCCAATTGTTTTTTCACGACCACACACACGTGTTGCTGATAGGAATACTGTTATAAAATTCTGTATCTTTAGTGTCTTATCACAGTAAATCATCAAAATAGATTATTTCATCTTTATCTTTACTATGGCGATGAAAAAAATACGACTAAGTTTATCGGATGCCCATACTTGACTTGTTTGAGAATTAGGTTTGTGTAATCAAACATCGCCACCTTACATCAGTGATCGGCAAAGTGTTTTAAGTGAGACCGAGATAATAAAATGGATAAGGTTTCAAGGCCCGGCAATTTCGTTGGGGATTTTTAAATTTAACCACATAATAAACTTGTTGAAGGACATTTAATTTGTTCAGTTGCAATGAATGGTTCCATTACATTTCAACCTACGTACATTTCAACCCACGACAATTGCACCTGCATACTATTGCACCAATGGAAATGTTTTTTGTTTTACGGATATTCGAACCCATACTAACCCTAACCCATGGGTTTTAGCACCCGCACATAGATTGAACCCGCAGATGGGTTCGGCGGCCTTACATCAATCTATTAATATCCTATCATATCACAATATTTACTTTAGATTAGTCTTTTGACTGACTGACTTTTAATACAGCAAGACCACTTGTTTGTCACTCGCGCAAAATATTGACATTCTTATCAAGTTATATTTTGCACGTAGAAGAACGAAATAATTGATTGCGGGTTTGCAGAGAACAAACTAAGCAAGTAAATGTTGCTAAGAAAATTCTTAATTTAAATCTGATCCTCGATAAATATACAGGGTGTCCATAAAGTCCTTTTACCCTTTCAATTTTGTTATGAAGTCAGTTCTCAATATATCTTAACCAGGTTTGTAGTTTTTTAATCAACAATGGTTTAAGTATTTTTACTTCATTTAATACATCTGTGAAGGCCAAAAAAATATATGATATCAATAAATTCCCTTCGCAATTTAAAATTTTCAAGATTTCATGGACAGCCTATATATTGATTGCCATAAGAACGATCCTATTTTTCATTATATTTGCAATGCAGTATAGTTACATTTTTATTCACGGAAGAAAACAGGACGTTATCATATAAAAACCAGAGAGTGATGCTCAAATATACAGACACGAACGCCAAAGAGTGGTCTATCTTACCTTTTACAGTACCTTAGCTTGCGATGTCTAGTGTGCGGTGCGGTTTAAATTCACTCTAGTCCAGTCAAGAAACCCGGAAAATTCCGAGTCGTAACATAAGTGCGCAAAACTATGACGTGACTCGGCGACAAACCCAAGTTTATGCTACATGTTTGTAAAAATTTAACCACCCCATATTTCAGAACAACTGTTTTGGAGTCAGAGGTCCGAAGACGATCATATACCGTCCTAGTTCTGAATATAAACGATGTCAACTAGCGATCAAGATGCGTTACCATGACCTTTCCGACAGCTTTCGGGAAACCGAAGACTTCGGGTGCCGGGGAAAGTATTGTTGCTAAGCTAAAAATTAAAGAAATTGTCGGAAAAGAACCACCAGGAGTGGACCCTGCGGCTTAATTTGACCAAACACGGGAAAACTTACCCGGCCCGGACACAGACAGGACTGACAGATTGAGAGCTCTTTCTTGATTCTTTGGATGGTGGTGCATGGCCGTTATAATTGGTCGAGCAATTTGTTTGGTTAAGTATTCAATACTTACTGGATTCGCATAAATATTTATGCTTCGACTCTTCGCAATCGTCGTTTTCCCACCCGATATAGCTTGTGGTTAAACATCTATTCTTCTGTGAATCGCTCGGCATGCCAGGGGCCCTGTCAATACATTGATTTCAATATAGGGTGTCCATGAAGTCTTAAAACTTTTTTAAATTTGCAAGAGAATTTATTGATACCGTATATCGTTTTGGCCCTCACAGATGTAATGAATGAAGTAAAAATACTTAAACAATTACTGATTGAAAAACAACAAGCCTGGTTGAGATATATTGAGAACTGACTTCACAACAAAATTAAAATTGGAAGGGACTTTATGAACACGCTGTATTTGCTTTCGTAACATAACAGAAACTGTACATTTTTTAATTGATTTTTAATAATTCTTTTTATGTTCCAAGCAATCAAAAACCAGATTAAACACGAACAACTGATATACGCGAAAACGACGTAAAACGCAAAATAAACTCAAGTAGAAGAAGTTAACAAAAATGCTCATAATTATACCATTCCTGAAAACTCATAATGGCTCCTTCATTCCATTTCCAGTTGTTGTTTTGGTTCATAGCATTCCCTCCAATCCAGTACTTAGAGATATTTTCTCTGAATGTATAAGAATGTAATTAATTTTTCTGCTTAGTACAATTCTTTTGCATCAAACTTTGCATTAAATATCTTTGTTAACAGCCAAACATTTGGGCAATGCTCAAACACAAGTACACGAAGATAAAATGATTAATATATCAAACACTTCCAACACATGTTGAAAGAATTGAAACGAATGTCATAGAAAATTAAATATCATATTAACGTGTTCCCGAAGATTAAAAAAACAGCAAATTTTGGGGTGGAATGACGGGGACAAAAGAAATCACAAACTTCTAGAAAAAAGATACAACTTCTTCCACTGAAAATTTGGCATCTATCCGTCTATTACTTGTGGGAAAAGCGATTTTTTCATAACAACGATAATAACAATAAGAATACCCTACATCGAAACAGCAAAACAAAAGGTGCCTTTTGTGTGCAACAATGAAAATCAAATATTGCGGGGATTGTTTAAAACAGGGGTGTGCAACCTTTTTCGCAGGCGGGCCAAATATCAATAACTGGGTAAAACCGCGAGCCGCACCTTCTTTTAACATAGGCTATCATATTAGGTGCAGGCACAAAATAGTGTCTTTTTGTTATTGATCTCATGTCGTCATCATTAGGGGTCCTTGCAGAAAACGCATAAATGTTGCGTTAATCAACTGATAGGCTGGAACCTAAACCCATTTAGCTTCTGTATCTCTTAATATTAAATTTTTTCAAACTGCTTTCCAGTATTCAAGTATTCCAGTATTCCAGCCTAATATTCAATTGCCTGTTCTTATAAATTCATTAGCGTCTGCTCCGGATTTCCCTTTCAATTGTTTGCTGCTCAGCAAGTGACACCTTTGTAAATCGCGTTGTCCGCTTCGCTGTTAGGACGGTGTGACGTCATAGGCATAGATAGATAATAAATTGGACTCGAATATAAACTTTGCAACGCAAAGGGAACCAGATCAAACTAATTTAAAAACTAGTTTAGATGGCCGCACATCATTCAAAATTGGCACTTTTCTGCGGGCCGCACAATTTTCCCTCGCGGTCCGCATTTGGCCCGCGGGCCACACTTTGCACACCCCTGGTTTGAAACATTGCTTACGTGACGTCGTTCTACTGATTTAATTTCGCTCTCTGTGAATTGGACTGAAATGTAATAATTTATACCTTCCTAATTTACGTTGTACAGCTTGAAATGTGCCGGGATTTTTCACTTCCACAAGTCGCATTCCCATATCAGTACAGGTCTGTTTGGCTTCTTGGAAAGAAACTTCTGTAACACCTGGGACTAGAACCATGTGGCTGAATGATGATACAGAACAGAGTTCTAAAAATTAAATTATGAAAGGCACTTATATTATGTCCGGTGTGAAGGTCCGGCAAGTCAATCCTATGTATACTTTAATATCAATAAAAACCGTTGGTCCTTACTTTTTCATTTTAATATAGCACACTTAATTTATATCTGGTATGAACACAAATTGTAGCCGTCAAAGCAACTTACTTATGTGCTAAATGATAATCTCTTTTTGTTCAAACACCTACCTATGATTTTTAGAATAATTATCTGCAAACAATCCAATTTTTTCCAATTTTTCATCATTAATCTTTATTAATTGAGAAAAGCATGATTAATTCCGAAACAACCCTTTAACCAATATAGAGCTATATAGTTGGGATATAAACAAAATAGTTTTTTTGTAGGGCCTTCATGAACGATTTAAGTAAATTTACATACGTGTCTGGCAGATAAAACCTTTACGTGAGCTACAAGGCTGATCGGCCCACCATTCACTTGGAGTTACTATAATTAAGCAGTGCTCGTTGTCGTTATAGTTGTCAGGCTGATTATATGCCCTGGAATAATGAAGGTAAGAATTTTAATAGAAGGTAATAAAAGGTAAGAACTTTTTTTCCGCCATCTCTCCGCCCAATATCGAAGTGAATCCGTCCTTATTTCATTGAAGCCATATCTTTAAAGTGCAATTCTGACGTATGACGTTTTTCTTCCTAGTAAGTTATTAATGAAACATTTTTCTATTTCTTACCTGGTAATAAAGTAATATATTGTTTTTGATAATTCAATTTTCTAGATTACGCTGTAATGGCACAATTACCTGATACCACTAAGTTAAAATTCACTGAACTGTTCAAGCTACTCAAGTGATCATACCAATGTTCGTATCCCTCCAACAGTAGTGTATCGTCTGTCCATTTCCAATACCCTTCTGAGTACATATCTGTGCCACCAATCCAAGTTTCTCGATAATCCCTGAAAGAGTGGATTCGGTTTTAAAACGTGAAATGCTTCGAAAAGATTCCAGACGGCAACATTGCTCATTTAGTTTTCTTACCAAATAGACATGAGATTAATAATCGCATCCTGAATTTTTTCTTTATCCACTTTCACCAGGTTGCCATTCATTGTAACGCAAGCGTGCGTTGCCTCGGAAAATTCTACCGTATCATCGCCCCAGTAGTAGTATGTGAGCTCGTAATCTTCGACGGTAATCGAATTAAATGTATCTGAGCCCGCAAAAAAATCAAAATTGAAGTCATTTAAAAAATGTATTTGATGTTCAAAATCCACTGGTTCCAAAAAGGCTTTGGAAATAATGCTTTCTTTACTGCAGCCAAAAGCGCTTGGCCGTAGCATATACATAAGGTGTGCAAAAAATCCCTTTACAATATAAATTTTGTTACGATAACAGTTCTCAATATATTTTAACCAGGTTTGTTGTATTTTATCAGTATATGTTTAAGTGTTTTGACTTAATTAAATACATCTGCGAGGGACAAAACAATATATGGTATCGATAAAATCTCTTTGCAAATTTAAAAAATTAAGACTTTATCGACACCTCATAATATTTACCACACTTTAGATGTGGTGATGAACACCGAAGTCGCATGAGGAATATTCAGGACGTGTCGCAAACATAGTTAGATTAAACTTGGCGACGATGTTATAAAACCACTAATTTGTATTAAACATCTGACTAGTAATGCACCACTATATTGGTACAAGATACGGATAAATACGCAGTTGTTGGAGTAATCATTTGTCAAGAAAAATATCAGAAAATCTATTTGTGCATTCAAAATAAATCACAAAATATAGTGTTTAACAAAGGCCACCTAATAGGCCCAATTTACACAAGAAGCGAAACAGCCACCTATCCTGAATGATTTCTTTATCCACTTTCACCAGGTTGCCATTCATTGTAACGCAAGCGTGCCTTGCCTCGGGAAACTCTACCGTGTCATCGCCCCAATAATAGTATGCGAGCTCATAATCTTCGATGTAAATGTAATGTAAATCGCTTATTCATTATATATTTGATATTATTCTGCGTACTTTCGAGGTGATGGACAAGGGATTCGAATGAGGAATATTTATGACGCGTCGCAAACATAGTTAGAAAAAACTTGCCGACGATGTTAAACAGCCATTAATTCGATATTAAACAACTAGCAACGCACCAGTAATTCATTAGTGTGTGTACCATGTTAGGGTTAGGTCCTGTTTTATTCCGATTTTTTCTTATTTTAGTTCTATTACGAGTTCGGGACTGTCTGTGTAAGCCAAGTGAATATACATACCCCTGTCGATATAGGCTTCCGACTCTTTAAACAACTTGATGTAATACAGGCGAACAAAATTAGTTACCTACATACTGGTACACACACTTGTGGAGCGCCGAAAACTTACCTGAATGGCCGAATTAACAATTAGGGAAAACAAAAGCCTTCCAGCTTCAACTACAAAAATTTAGATAGCGATTGGTTAGTACATTGGTTCTCAACCTGTGGTGGGGGAGCTTTTCAAGTGGTACGCGAGCAGCTGTGAATTATTGCAACAATTAAATTTTGAGTTGGCTAAAATATGGTGTTAACAATTTTCCTCGTCTTTTCACCATGTATTCGCTGAACGGTTTTATAACGCTACCACCCCTTGTCTTATGAGATCGCCTTCACCCGCTAATGCCCACCTAAAATGAGACGGGCACGTTATCGCCCGTTTTACTTGTTACTCCGCGCTCGACTGGTGTCGAGATACCCGGATGGAGCCCAGATACACCATACTGGTGTTACTAATGCTATGAGGTGGTGGGATTCAAATTTTTTCGCCAGCCGGTTCCATCACAAAAATTTTTCATTCGGTTCTGTTACAAAAAGTCATATTTTTTAGTAAATAACCTGATTATTTTCGATTACTTCCTAATTCATATTTCAAAATAATGGTTGAAAGTAAGCATCATTATGTCGAAATTGGCATCGGAATTTTTGACGATTCAATTCAATAATTTTTCAAAGCAATCACAAAAGGAAAATTACTACAAATATAAAAATTAACACGATGTATAAATGTTACGTGCAAACACGTGAGCTACTTGATTCTTAAAAATCGGTTTATCAGATAAGATGCAAAAATATATTGACAGTCAACAGTAATGCTAACCGGTTCGCTGATCTCATAAAATTTCGTGAGACGGTTCTATAGAACCGGTGCAAATCGGCTGAATGCTATGTATGTATGTGTTTGCTGATCAGCATAATCTTAGGTCTTAACGCTAATTCATTTGAACACTAAGTTGGTAGTTTATGATAGCGGCGATGAAAGTGTATTCGTCCGAGTCTTGCGATAATTTTGTGGTGGGAATTAGAGCCTTCCAGCTGACGATCTCTCGCGAATTTGCACGCAATTAATACGTTGTTAGCTTGTTACTGCACATAATTTATACGTTGAAACTTTACACGACAGTCTAAAAATGGGTATAGTGCCGTATTATGAAATACTCTTATAGCGCGTTTCTTGTGGATTTTGTCGGTGGTACGCGGCACCAGTAAAACACACTTAAGTGGTACGCAGTCAGTGAAAGGTTGGGAACCACTGGTTTAGTGCATAGACAGAAAATGAATATTTAGTCCTAACAGCAACAACAACAGCATCCAGAAAAATCGACGATTTATCAAAAGCGGAGGTAGCATTTGGAGACCGCAACAATTCTTTAAGGTTCCTCGATTATTTTACATTTATTTTTACTATAATGTTAACGTTATACAGCGAATACAATTGAACAGACTGTACACGAATTAGGTACTCACACTCAATACTTCTTTAGCTAGATCTGCATTTTTTGTAAAAAAAAATTACTCCAATAACGATCAATACAAGTATATATTGCGAGAAATGGTATTTGCGGCAACTCTATAGTAAACGTGACTGCTTGTTAGAAGAGTAAAATTCTGGATTAAAAAAATTAGAAATAATGATTCTAAATTGATTGATTTGTTACGGTAAACTAATTTTTCTGTTCCGATATCTTAATCAGAATGTATTCTCTAACTTAAAGAATATTAGAGTGATATAAATATAAGTTTAACAGACGAATGGAGTTAATAAAGCTAATGTTAAAGAACCTTGCAAATCTAATATTGATACTCACCTGCATAAGCACAAGTCCATGTTGACAACATGGCCGCTATCAGAAGCAACTTCATGTTCAGTTACGAATTATAAGTTGTTAAAACAATATAATATCTGAAATTGTATATATAAAAATCAAACAAAACATTGTATAGCTTACTAATAGAAATGCGCATTTATAGAGATTCGACAACTGGTCTTAACTGCGACAAGAGAGAACATATATCATATCAATTCAAAACCTTCTGACCAAGGTCAGACTTTCGCACCATTCGCATCGTTGCATGCCTTGCATTATATGTATAGTGAACCGCCAGTGCAAAAATATATACGAAAGGTAAGTAGTTGGTTCCACAAATATTTGTCGATAGTGCAAGTCAATATTTACTGAAGCTCTTTATCTTTTTTACAATAAACAGATATTGTTTTGCAGTTTGCAGGAAATTATGTCCAAGGTTCACTTGGAGCATTGCTGTTACTCAAAGACATTTTTATTTCTGACACAAAGCTTACTTACATACGCATCGCTTCCTCAAAATGTTGATGTTGCTGTTGTTGTTGTTGTTTTGAAAAGTTGTCTTTACTAGCAACTAATGTACCGGACAGTTTCAAATTTTTAGTATACAAAGATACTCACTAGAGTTATGGGTGATTAATTTTCTGCCGAGTTATAAGGTAACGGTTATTTCACCTAAATTTTGCTGTTTTTATTTTAATGCATGGGAACACTTTTATATATCTTGTCGGAATACTTTTCTATAACATATAGGAACACGGGTACATGACTTCCGGGTATATATATTTATGCATTCATCTGTTGTTCAAATCATAAGTATTTGAATAGTAAGTTATTGTTTAGCGATATTACGAAAACAAGAGAGCAATGTTCAAATATACAAAAAGGAATTGGTACGGGTATGCAATCTGTTACAGTAGTCTACCGGTAACGCGTCGCAGCTGAGCAACAGATTCTAACTTACGAAAAGCGGAACCGCCACAAGGAGCGATTTCTAAGTATCATGGAATTTAACAATATTTCTGAAATGAGTGTCAATATTTTTGAAAAATTTATTTCAAATGTTCATCGTTAAATATTGAATATAAATTGAACCATTATTCTAAAATCTGTGAGAGTCCAAGCAACAAACTTAACACCTTTTATTAATATAGCGTATATTTAGAAAAAAAAGGTAAATGTTTCTCATTCAATATTTGAGTCTCCGTGTCATATTAAGGACGATTAACTATAAATTTCATTATTACGAAGATGACCCGTTTGATTCTTTACTTCACCCTCAAGTTTTTTGATTACTCATTCTTTCAGACGGTTCTAGGGGTGAAATTCATAACGTCTTTTCAATGCGGTTCTTTAATTTATACCCTCACTAGCGTAACTCATACTTGACAATGTCAATAACTATGACGTTTTTTTTATTATCTACATACGATTGGTAAACCATGGTGTGTCATTCTGCTATCCCGTGAAATGCAACTGCTTCACTCATTTCGTAGCTCAGTAATTTTCAACTGGTATTCCGTTAGAGACCTTCTGGTGTTACGTGTGACATTTTGTATCACTTTTTCATTATTGGTATATTTAATGATATGAAGTATTACAAATTAGGAATTAAGGGTCACGTATTAGGTTTTAGGATGAGTCTGTTTCATGATAATGGGAATAAATTAATCGAACTCGGATCTCGGAATCACCTTCTTTTGCGGTTTAATGACATCAGGTCGGATTAATTCGCCATTAAGATTTTACCAGCAGTAGGCAGTTCATCACATAAAGATGCCACAACGCGTACCGCACGTTATATCAATTACTATAGTTATGATGGCAAAGAGAAACTGGGAATCGTTGACCACTATCTGGGCGTTTGTCTTTCATCGGTATCTGCCAGGATAGACGATTTTTCTCATTAAAACAAGCGTATAAATTTGAAGTTGTTAGGTCTTCCTCATCCTGAAGTCAGAAGCTAAGCAATCTTTCGCTATTTCATTTCTATTCCAAAACTAATCAAGATGGGAATTCAGACGAATATCGATTAATTGTTATTTAACTTTATTTGGTGGCATACGCAAAAACAAATAAGTAAATAAATTTTCTAGGATGAAAGTCTTATCTCACAGTTCTGATCAAATTCAAGCTAAAAAGTCTTGCACCCAACCCAACACGCACTGAGTTTGTCTTGTTTGAATAAATACAAAACCTAAATCAGCAATGGTACCTATTCACTCCACAGTGGAACCCCTTAAAATTGTAAAATTTAACAAAATCTTTTATTTTATTTTTAGCATTATGTCACAACTTATGATTCAAACAATGACACTTACATTGAAAGCAAAAAAAGGCGATATTCAAGTTCAAATAATAGTAATTAAGAGGCAATTACGTAATTAAGATCAAAGCATCAAAATAGCATTCCGGTAAAAAATTCAATCATACACCCTATCGGTGTTATTGAAAGGCGGTAGATCTTAAGTGACTTAAGTGCAGCTCGGCAATACATATTTATATTGAACAAAATCTGGTAATTTATATTGCATATTTTAGTAATCTTAACTATGTTGTGCCTATTACCCGGCAACAGTAATTTATTTTCGTGTCATACTTTGCGGCAATACATATTATATTTGGCATACGCAAAAACAAATAAGTAAATAAATTTTCTAGGATGAAAGTCTTATCTCACAGTTCTGATCAAATTCAAGCTAAAAAGTCTTGCACCCAACCCAACACGCACTGAGTTTGTCTTGTTTGAATAAATACAAAACCTAAATCAGCAATGGTACCTATTCACTCCACAGTGGAACCCCTTAAAATTGTAAAATTTAACAAAATCTTTTATTTTATTTTTAGCATTATGTCACAACTTATGATTCAAACAATGACACTTACATTGAAAGCAAAAAAAGGCGATATTCAAGTTCAAATAATAGTAATTAAGAGGCAATTACGTAATTAAGATCAAAGCATCAAAATAGCATTCCGGTAAAAAATTCAATCATACACCCTATCGGTGTTATTGAAAGGCGGTAGATCTTAAGTGACTTAAGTGCAGCTCGGCAATACATATTTATATTGAACAAAATCTGGTAATTTATATTGCATATTTTAGTAATCTTAACTATGTTGTGCCTATTACCCGGCAACAGTAATTTATTTTCGTGTCATACTTTGCGGCAATACATATTATATTGAACATAATGTGGTAATTTATATTGTATATTTTATGGGCTATTTTGGTAATCTCAACTTTGTTTGTTAACAGTAATTTATCTGCTGTTTCATCCTAGGCATACTTTTATCTGAGTCATGTTCTGTTGATAATTTATTATTCGTAAATTCTTGTGGTGCTGCTAACGTTTTAATGAATTAAAGTTTCAAAACTATTATTGAGGTTACCAAAATTGGGTTTCCCTAAAAAACATTCCATGGCAGGACTTTGAGTGTAAGCTGTTTTAAACCGGGAAACCCTTGCAGTTGTTTGCGAAGTTATGAAATAAATTTAGGTTGCGACAGTGAATATTAAAATTAATTTACCGATTTCATTATGAAAAAGTTAAACTTAATTATCAAACATTATTACACTTTTAATACAATGTGATGACCTATTTTTTGCATTTTAATCAATACAATCATAAACTAAAATCTCAACAAATAAATAACGGTCAAAATCAAATTCTATTTTCATTCTCTAACTATTTTGCTCTTGTCCCATGTGAAACACTGGAAAATAAAGAAGTCAACTCATTACTCATTAATTTAAATATTTGAAGGTAATTGTGTTATAATTCAAATAGGGTTGTTATAATCCGCGTTTTTTTCTTGCCCCAATTGTGTTTTTTGCTTCAAACAGGGGCTTGATATGTAAACGATATGCATAGCCCATCGCGAACAACTTGGTATCGCTTTTATATATTCTACTATAGTTACTCTACTAATTCACAGGCGGACGAGTTGGAATAACTTTTGAGCAATTCATTGTTATTAAAAGGCTTAAAACAATCTAAATTTGGTACTCCAGAAGTGTATGTACCAATATCAGGTACGGGAGTACCCTTAATTTGGTTACTCGTTAATCATCTGTGTGTCCAAATGTAATATGTTATGATTCAGAAGCAAATTCAGAATCCATTATTTAAGTTTCACTTCTAAATTAATAAAGAGCATTATAGGATTATAAACAATCGACTCCCTATATTATACTGAACCATAATTTTATTATTTATCACCTTCGATGTTGGTGTGACCATGTATTGCAGCCTTGTTATTAGTAGAATTCTGAGCAGAGATCCTTCTGTACAAAAAAAAATAGTTTTATTTTTTGAAAAATAGCTTATATAATCAAGCGTGCCACTTTAGTATGGGATGTCAGTGTCATAAAATTACTCTGGTACGGAATCTCAACAGCGTATTAAATTGGCAACTTTAGTATGCGTTTAATCTCATGAAGACAATCTTATAGAATTCGTTTCCTAGGCCTAACCCCAACCATGTAATCGCTGGGTTAGGATTGGTTAATACTAAAATTTCTGAGATCACATAACCGATAAGATATAGTATGAGCAAGATCAACAATTGAAATATTACGTTTCATAAATAATGACCACTACTATTGTTTGGATTAATTTCGGATAAAAATATATACTTAATAGGTTTTAGTTCTGAGTCACTCTCACATCAGCTGAACCCCCACAACTGCATATATTACTTATAAAAATAACAAAGCTAAGTGTGTGAACCAATATGGAAGTGAATACTTTTGCTTGCCTAGTTTACATCAAGTTGTATGTATGAAGACGAAAGCATATAGGCAGAGGGAATACTCATTTGGCTAACACAGACAGCCTTCGAACTCGTAATAGAACTAGAATAAGGAATATCTGAATAAAACAATGGCCTAACCCTAACCTAATGTGAATATTTTTAACATCAGAAATATTACCTTTGGCAAAGAATAAAAACAAACTGAAGAATAAGAACAACAAACAATGTAATAAGAACAGGAGGAACCCATCCGTAATCTGAAAAAATAAGTAGCGATTACAGTTTGCATTTCCTTAAAAATCTTAAACTGCAAAGAAATGGAAAATTTAGATCACCGGTTCTCAACCAGTGGGCCATGGCTTCTAGGCCAAAAACACATATTCAGGTGGGCCAGCCGCAAGCCTATTGAAAATTTCTAGAGTTACTGATTGATAAATTAGTTAATTCGATTGTAGTGGCAATGGATGACGATGCTGATTAAGGAAACTGGTGAATTTTTGTTTATTTTCATTTAAAAATTAGAGATGGTCTACTTTTAAAAAAAGAATTTTTTTTTTTTTTGTAGTTTTTCCCTTGCATGAGAAAGTTGATAGGCCATTCGTTTTTGTGCGACAAAATGGGCCGCCAAAGATAAAAGGTGGAGAACCACTGGTTTGGATTTTATTATATTAATCATCGGTAGGAGCAGTCGACCAAGCTCGGCTTATACATTTACAATTTGTGGAAGTGACAATGGTATCAACGGAATAAATTTTTTTTGATTTAATGTTGCAATGTTATTTGTCTAAAAAATTAAGTAAAAGGTAACTTATTGGGTTTGAAATTGCAATCCCGCTGGAGTATAGGTCCATACTCTACCACTGCATTGAGATTAGCTAAATTCGAACCAAAGTATGCTAAACACCTCCGCTCTGAGACAGACAGTATAAGCAGTACATATACTAGGGGATGCGGGGATGCGAAACATGTATTGCCGTTGAGCCATATAACCATGAACTTCAGACATCTAACTGGTCCACACAATAAAAATAGTTTCCCAATATATAACAACGAATTAAAAGTTAGCAACAACGAGAGCGCCGCGGAAGGGCAGAAAAAAATAATACGTCTATCGCTTACCCTTCGAGTATGAAATGGGAAACGACGAAAGATTTAAAGCAGCGACATGAGCAAAAATAATTATAAATTTTTACCCAATTATGTCAGTCGGTTTATGATTTTATGCTTGATGGGAAAAATCTGTAGCGCACAACGGCGGCCAACAGATTACCAGTCCAAGTTGGCTATGGGAATAACTTCCTAGTGTTCCTTGTTGACAAGGGCCACACTAAAAGGTTTGGCAGACCGGGTTATGGCCCGCGGGCCACTTGTTTCGCGACCCTGTACTATAGTGATAGCACAAATATAAATATTGTCTACTTTGGAACTCGATGTGTTCTATATTAAAAAATATAAGTTACTCACCAGCACAAGCATTTTCTTCTGGGTTGTTCTCACTGGGGAAAAAAAAACGCGTTTATCTATTTTGACAAAACAAACACGATTGCGGCACAATACAATATTCAAAATACAAAACGCAACGTTTAAACCAAAACAATGTCCCAAATTATAAAACCTGTTAAAAAAAATAACAAAATAGGACAAAACGACATAGCTTACATATTTTGTTCATTGCTATCCCCTTCATCGAATTCCCGTTCCAAACCTTTGAACCTATCGTATTCTGAAATTGGTTCTCCCAGCGGAAGCACTAAACAAAAAAACAAGAAACAATAATTTGTTTTTGCTGTATTTTTATGTGATTACGGTAGCCTGGTGTTTAACACGTTAGACTTGACTATGTTGGCACCACAGGATGAGATGTCAGGTTTAACCTCCCAGGCAATTAATAAATTAAGTCGGTAATGCCGAACCAAAGAGACGTGTTGAGAGACTTTTACCGATCGATAGTCGTGTTAATACGTCATATGATAACATACATAATCCTTGGCGAAAGTTTGGGACCCGTATGTGTGAATGGAATTTAGAATAGGATTTGATTTTGATATGTAACCCGAAGCGAGGTAACATGACAAACAGTATAAATAGCACATTTACTATAGAGGGTGTGCAACATTTTTGCGTGTGAGCCATATAACCAACTTCAAACATCCAGCTGGACCACACAAAAAAAAGTTTTCCTATAGGAACACGAAAAAACAAAGGTTGAGAAGCGCTGTATTAAACTATAGTAACAATGATTACCGAGCAGAGGGTTTGGGTGAAAGGCTTGATTTTGTTTGTATAATTAATATGTAGCCTTAGTCGAAGTAAAGACCACGTGCCTGATATTTGTATGATATATATAGAATAGAATATAGCTCTAAATTTTTTTGTCCAATGTTTCTGTTTTTGGAATGTCGAAGAGGCTGTATACGGTATAGCCCAACAGTGGCAGTGTGAAACCACCGTTTGTAGTCAATATGACCTTTCGCAAATACCGGTATATGGAATTCGATTCTGCAAGCCTACGCAGGGTTCACAGCGTTGCGATAAGTTTTTCCAACGCTTGGGGCGGAAAATTGTTGGATTGATTATCATGTATCCACTCCGTGGCTTGTTAACCGATCGAATTTAGTTTTCTATTCAATTATTGGAACAGTTAAAAGTACATGGTGCATGGATCAATAACAAATATTTTGACGAACTAGGTTAGAAAGCTATGACATAAAAACTATATAGCGATCGTTTACCGCCGACTTATCGATCTTCCGCATGTTCATTATGTTACTCGTCGAGAAAAAGAGCAGATGCAAGCTCGCTTTCGTGAGATATCGCGTAAGATACGAAAGTGTCTAACAGACAAACGAGAATATCGGTTGGAGACCGAAGACTTATCGATCAAAGGTTAGGGGATCCCCCAAAACAGAAACTGCGGTTTCGATTGATCCGCTCTTACTCCATAGCGACACCGTGTGTCCCATCACTAATTAATTGATACCTCGCTAATTATACGACGCAATTCATCCAAAATCAATAGGCTTCTGATCAGAGATATGATGAATACACATGCAAAATTTGGAGCAGATTCAACCTCGCTTTCGTGAGATATCGCGTGTATATAACAGACATACAGACAAACAAACAAACAAACAAGCAAACAGACAAATACTTATCAACATACTTACCGATCTTAAGATCGATAAGTAACAAACAAACAAACAAACAAACAAACAAACAAACAAATACTTACTTATCCAGATCGATAACTAATAGAAGTGCATGTGACACATGAATATTTTTGTGCAATAATTTAAGAAATCGGTGACTGGAGATTTTTTGAAATGAAAGAGTTATAAATATATTCTAATATTACGCTGCAATACAACCACACCCCCGACATTGTTAAAAATACGAAAATTAGTAATTATCCAATTAGGATCAGGGTTAGGATTGGGAATGCATATTGCGTTGAAAACTCGAATTTTCAAATCATTCCCAGCACTAACCCTAAGTGGATAATTATCATTTCTTATTTGGCAACGGGGTGAGTGCGTTTTTCTCGAATTTCACATTGTTGCATTGGTGACGGAGGCTTAGCACAAAAGATCAAGAGACATAAAATAATACCGAACCTTTTAGTTTCGCAAATCCTTCTGTCCATCCTTTGGTGCCATTTGCATAATTGATCGCATAACATCTGTAGGTTCCAGCATCTTCTAGTCGAGCATTGTTAATTAGAAGAGTAGATTTTGCTGATTCAGCAGATTGATGAATCCGCGCTTCAGTTTCATCAGTGATTCTTTGATTATCTTTGTGCCACGCAACATCGGGAAGTGGGAATCCGTCGGCGGTGCATTCGATTTTGGTATTTCTGGCTTCGAATATAATGATGTTCTGGCTTGACATTCGTAAAGAATGAGGGCGAACTGAAATAAAATGAAATGTATCCTATAAAATTTCACTGTTCGAAACAGTTTGGCAAAAAAATCGAAGCGAGAGTGCATTTGAATAAACTTGAAGTAGAAATGGAAAGAATTAGCAAATATTTTTAAGAATGTCGTCGTAATGTTTCTAAGACTTTTTAACTTTTGTTTTTGGCATTTAATTGAGTAGTATTATAAATATTCAGTTATACGGCTTATTTAGGCAACCACACGTATTCTTGATGTTGAATGGCAATATTGTTGAAAAGAAATGTATCTTTGATACCATATTACAGTTAATTATCAGTAACTGTATAGTGATTCCTCGCAGGGCAAATAAATTTTGAAGTAAACTTGAAAAAAAAAATAACACCAAATATTGAAGAAACATATTTGTACTGCTTTCAAAAATCTATCACTTGTGTTCAATAACGTATACTTGATTACTGTTATGTCCGTTGAATGTACATTCAATTATACAGTTGATTTCGGCAACTGCGCCTGTTTCTGGCGTTCCCTTGAATAGGAATATACTGTTCAAAAATCTGTATATTTAGTGTCATTTTACAGTTACAGAGGTGAAGGATAAAAAGGGTATTTAGATATTTCCAGACTGCTGTGAAGACGTTCTGACTTGACATTCTTAAAGCCTAAACTGAGGAAATGTAATATGTTTTAATCAATTTTGCCGTTCAAAAAAGTTTAAGCAAGGATTTGAAGCCGTAATGAGTTTGACTTAAATGTGGCGAAAAAAATCTAAAAAACGTAGCCATGATGCCTCTGAAAATTCTTTCAACAACAAGGATTCCCCTAGTAACGGTGAGTGAACCGGACCAGCATTTTATTCTATTTTGTACAATTGTTTGATAGTATGAATGGGAATACGTTTAGAAACGTGTATTTATAGTGTCAGTCAATCATCGTCATTATCATTGTAAGGACAAGGAATATAATATTGTCGTTGTATTGCTTTTAAAAAAATTAGGTTATGAATTATGCTTGTCAAAATGATATCGCCTGAATGCAGATTCATTGATGTAGCCCTATTATTTTTCACGACTACACATGTTGATGATAGGAATATTGTTGGCAAAATCTGTATATTTAGTGTCATTTCACAGTAAATCATAAAAAATGTTTATAAGAGCTGTAACTTTGCCATGGCGATAGATAACATAACACATGGCCGTTTATCGGATGCCAATTCTTGCCTGAGAATTAACTTTGAGTGACCAAGCATCGTCACCTTACGTCAATGGTCGGCAAAGAGTTTTAAGCGGGACCAAAATAATAAAATGGAAAATATTTTAAGGCTCAACAATTTCATTAAAAATTTTAAATTTTACCACATAATAAACTTGTTTCTATTTATTCCGTTTAAATGAACGTCATGTATGATCGTTTGATAGATGAGCAAAAACCATTTGGCAAAAATGTATATGTTATGTTGAATATAGAGAACTTTTTGTGTATCACTGCTTTAATTGAAATTTATCGGAGGCCCACTAGAAAATGCTCGGCGGCCTACGATTGAGCCGCGGCCCGCATTTTGTCGATCACGGCCTTACATCACCCTATTAATATCATATCACAATGTTTATTTTAGATTAGTCTTTCTACTGAACTGACTTATAATAGAAATACAGCAAGACCGCTTGTTTGTCAGTTGCGCAAAATATTGACATTCTTAAAGAACTGATTAATTGCAGATTGCAAGTTTGCAGAAAACAAAATAAGCAAGTAAATGTTACTAAGAAAACTTCTAATGAGCCTCGATAAATATATATATATATATATATATATTATAATATATTTTCACAACAACAAGAAGAAAAATACAATCAAGAACAACAACAACATAATAACAAAACGACTCATGCGCACATGTCGTGTCCAAAAATTATTCATGAGAGGATTGCTGCGAAGTGACCGGATAGAATGAAGCCGTAAAGCTAAAAATTGTAGGAAATGATGGAAGGGAACTACAATGAGTGGAGCCTGCAGCTTAATTTGACTCGACACGGGGAAACTTACCTGGCACGGTCACAGGCAAGATTTACAGATTGAGAGATCTTTCTTGATTCTGTGGGTGGCGGTACATTGCCGTTTCTATTTGGTTTCAGTGATTTTTTTGGTTGAAGTATTCAATACTTACTGGATTCGCATAAATATTTATGCTTCGACTCTTCGCAATCGTCGTTTTCCCACCCGATATAGCTTGTGGTTAAACATCTATTCTTCTGTGAATTTCTCGGCATGCCAGGTGCCCTGTTAATACATTGATTTCAACATTGCGTAGAAAGTAAGACCTAACCAAAGCACTAAATCATTTTGTGCGCAAGAAATATTCAAAATTATATATTAATATAAGAATTACTTTATATAGAGTGTCCATATTATCTATATGAAATTTATCGATACCATATATTTTTTGGCCCTCACTGATGTAATAAATGAAGCAGAAATACCTAAACAATTACGCAAAGTATACTTAAGTAGAAGAAGATAACAAAAATGCTTATAATAATATTACCATTTCTTGAAACTGAGAATGGAGCCTTCATTCCATTGCCACATGCCGTTTTGGTTGATAGCATTCCCTCCAATCCAGTACTTGGAAGTATTTTCTCTGAACGTATAAGATTGTGATTAATTTTGCGCTTAGTACAATTCTTTTGAATTGAACTAAACTTTACATTAAATATGTTTTTTAACAGCTAAACCTTATGGCAATGCTCAAATATAAGTACACGAAGATAAAATGATTAATATATCAAATACGACTTCAGAAAAATTCCAAAGATATGTTGAGATAATTTTACCGAATGTCATAAATTAATTGAACACCATATAAATTCTAAATAAGTAGAAGATTTAGGGGCGAAATGACGGGGACAAAAAAACAAATAAACCTAGAAAAATATAAACTACACATAACTTCTTCCTTCTCCAATTACTGAAAAATTGAAATCGTTCATTAGTTGTGAGAGAAGCGCAATTTTTACAACAACGACAACAACAATCTCCCCCGCAAGATCGATGCAGCAAAACCAGTACCTTCCGTGTGCCATAATAAAAATTAAATATTGCCGGGGGAATGTTTAAAACATTGCTTATCAAAATTACTCAAAATTAGTTTTGACGTCGTTCTACTAATTTTACTTTCGCTCTGTGAATTAGAATGAAATGCAGTAATTTATACCTTCCTAATTTGCGTTGTACAACTTGAAATGTGCCCGGATTTTTCACTTCCGCAAGTCGCATTCCCATATCAGCACAGGTCAGTTTGGCTTCTTGGAAAGAAACTTCTGTAACACCTGGTACTAGAACCAAGTGGCTGAATGATGATACAGAACAGATATCTAAAGTTATGTAAAAAGTTAAAATAATCAATTTTAGACGTTCGTAATTGCATATTATGCGTTGTATGGCAGTAAAGCAAGTCAATTCCAGCCACTCCACTCTCTATTAAAACCATTCATTGCTTCTGTATGGATAACTATTATTTTTCGTATTATTCATCCAAGAAACAGCGCACATACACTGAACCAGAAATAAATGCCCACACGCGAAGTATCGTTGTCAAAGCAATTTATTGACGAACTAAACGCTAGTCTCGTTTTTTGTTGTGGTTTGAACAATTAAGTGATTTTTAAAATATTTGTCCGTAACTATTCAAATCAAGTAAATCTTGTTTGCAAGACATATTTTTCCATCCCACTCTGTGGTAATTTATGTCTGTTTCGTCCCACCCGATGGGACGTTTCTGATACCTATTCTGGCCGACCAATTCTGTTAACAAATGCTGAATAGAAAAATCAGTTACTTATTTGTCCGGTATACCACCTCAAAAAGTACAAAGCTAAGAGTAGCTCTGAGGCAATCAAATTTTCACGAGAACTAAAATGTATGCTCCCCCGTCCCATTCCATTGGACATTTTTCATAAAATTAATTTTCACAAGATTGCAAAAGCCGCTAGCCATGCCGCTTGCACATAGTAGATTTTACGTTTTAATTGAGTGTTATGTGTAATTATAGTACAACCACCAGAACTTATATCTAGTCATGAAGCTAAACTATAAACAAGATAACTTTGTATAGCACATTTTTGAAAAAATTAGATTCAGCCTACGCAGGCCTAAGTTCAGAGATACATTTATTAACGACGAGCGATGTAATAGGATACACAAATATTATCCTATTTAAATTATGGTTATTATGGCCATGTAAAGTATTTTCAAGAGCAATTTGAGTCGTACAACCCCAAACAGTGGTTTTCAACCTTTTTGGTGGAGCGGGGCCCCGATGAAATATTCCAAGAAGCGGGAGGAACCACCCCTGTGCAATAGTTTAAATGTTTATTAACGTATCTCGACAATCGAGGGTTTGTAGGTCGAAGAGCAGTGGTTCTCACACAGTGGGGAAAAGACGCTCCATAAGGGGAGCGTCGACAGTTTTTTGAGTGCGCGTGAAAATAAAAATAATTGTTACGCCGTATTTGTTTTTAACTTTCTAATTAAATACGTTCCATCCACGTATTATCAACGTGATTTTTCGAATAAAACCTCGCTTCACTATCTTGTTATCTGTAGCTCATTTTAGCAAGTTATTTTTGAGGTGTGGCTTGAGACTTTAAAATTACCTGTCTGACAGATGAAACCTTTACGTGAGTTGCAAGGATGATCGTACCACCATTCATCTGGAGTTCGTATATTTAAGCAGTGTTCATTGTTGTTATAGTTGTCAGGCTCATTACATTCCCTGAAATATAAAACAATTCCTATTAACGATTAGTATAATAATAGTAAACATATTTCGGGTATTAAACATGCGTTGATCTAATCTAGTAATCGAGTAATGGAAAGTGAGAATGATAATATCTATAAACAATAAAGAAATGGACAAGTCTTCAGCCATATGCAAAGGCCAAGTCCTTTGTATTAATAGAAATTAATGTCAAAAGCGTATAAACCGTGGATTATTCCGTTTGTGTAGTGGCACAACAATCTAATTTATACATTGGTTGAAATTCACTTTTTCACATTCGCTTTTAAGAATTTGTGTCTATTGCTGCAGACAATTTAGAATCAACTTTCAATATGTCTTCAATACTCTCATATCGGGAGTGAGCGAAGGTTGCTAATAATAGTTTTAATTCGAAAATCAATGTCTTAATCGGGGCATTTCAACTTTAGTTTGGTGATCTTACCAATGTTGGTATCCATCCCATAGTAGTGTACCGTCTGTCCATCTCCAATACCCTTCTCCGTAGATATCCGTTCCACCAATCCATGTCTCTCTAAAGTCCCTGAAACAGTGGGTTCGGTTTTGAAAAGTGAAATGCTTTTAAAAGGTTCCAGGTCAGGGCTTTTCAAACGGTGGGGCGGCCCACAATGCGGGCGTAGATAATTATTTGAGGAGCTTGAAGCTAATTAAAAGAAGAAGAAAAATTGATTAGATTTTATTTTGCCCGACTTGAATATTTACATTTCTTTATTGTTTAGAAATTGCAGAGAGATGTTGTTATTGATCTGTAAATATTACTTGTGTCGCACTGTCTGGTATTTGTAGCTTATTATTAGCTCGTTATTTTCGAGGTGGGTCGCCAGAGTCAGACGCGGCTCAAAAAGTTTAAAAACTCCAGACGATTATATTGTCCGTTCAGTTTTCTTACCAATAAGACATGAGATTGATAATTGCATCCTGAATGATTTCTTTGTCCACTTTCACCAGGTTGCCATTCATTGTAACGCAAGCGTGCCTTGCCTCGGAAAATTCTACCGTATCATCGCCCCAATAGTAGTATGTGAGCTCGTAATCTTCGACGGTAATCGAATTATATGTATCTGAGCACGCAAAAAAGGTAAAATTAAAGTCATTTAAAAAAATTATTTGATGTTCAACATCCACTGGTTTCAAAGAGGCCCTGGAAATTATGGTTTTTTTACTGCAGTCAAAAGCGCTTAGCCGTAGCATATACACCGGGTGTGCAAAAAATCCCTTTACCATATAAATTTTGTTACGATAACAGTTCCCAATTTATCTTAACCATGTTTGTTGTATTTCAATCAGTAATTGTTCAAGTATTTTGACTTTATTTAAAACATCTGTGTAAGACAAAACAATATATGGTATCGATAAATTCCCTTTGCGAATTTGAAAAAAAATTAAGACTCTATCGACACCTCACAATATTTACCGCACTTTAGATGTGGTAATGAACACGGAATTCGCATGAGGAATATTTATGACGTGTCGCAAACATAGTCAGATTAAACTTGGCGAACAACTTATAAAACCACTAATTCGTATTAAACAACTGACTAGCAATGCACCAGTATATTGGTACAAGATACGGATAAATACGCAGTTGTTGGAGTACTCATTTGTCAAGAAAAATATCAGAAAATCTATTTGTGCATATAAAATAAATCACAAAATATATTGTTTAACAACAGCCACCTGACAGGCCCAATTTACACACAAAAAGAGAAACAGCCACCTCAAACTACTAAAATTTAGATAATGGTTGGTTTGTAACATGAATAGAAAATGAATATTTAGTCCAAACAACAACAACAGTAACCAGAAAAGTAGACAATTTAGCAAAACAAATAGGAGGGCGCAATTCTTGGGGACATGGAGCCGCAACAATTTAAGAAGTTACCAGGATTATTTCAATTAGGCAGCAGAAATCATTTATTTCTATCATTGCGTTGACGTCACACTGCAAAAACGACGAGGACACTTTAACGGGATGCACAACGATTTGGAACTTACACTTAATACCTTTTGATAGATCTGCATTTTTGTAAAAATTGTAAAAAATGAATTGACTCTAAAAATGATAAATACAATTATATATTTTAAACAATTGTGCAGATTATGCCTTAATAATAAGATTAGCGTCGTTACTATATCTGCAGCAACTCCCCAGTAAGCGTAACTGCTTGTTGAGAAGGGTAGAATTCTGGATCAAAACGAAATTAGAAATATTGGTTCAAAATTGATAATAAAACTCACCTGCCCAAGCACATGACAACAAAGTTGATATCAGAAGCAACTTCATGTTCGGTTATGACTTATAAGTTGTTTAAATAATATAATATCTAAAAAAAACAATTAAATATTAAGGAACCAAACAAAATATTGTGATATTTGATGACAACAAATGACAACTTAACTTCATAAAGACTGGACTAATTGCTTCTAACTGCGACAAGAGGTAACATATATTATGACAATTCTAAGTGATTCAAGAGCGTCGCCGCACACAAACACAAATGTATTTCTGTCACGTTTCTTCTGACCGAGGTCACACTTTTGCACCCTTGCTACGGCATTCTTGCACTATATGAATATCAAAAGCATAGGAGAAGGATAAGTAGTTGGTCCCACAGAAACCCAACGGATAGTATATACTAGAGCATTTGCCAATTTATAACAATTTTATGACAAGATATCGCTTCTCTCAACATCGAGCTAGCACAAAAGCAAACAAGTCAATATTTACTGAAACTCTCTATACTTTTACAATGAACAGATATTGTTTTGCAGTTTGCAGAAAATCAATCCAACCGTGATAATTAAGTCCAAGGTTCATTAGGAGCATTGCTGTTACTCGCGTACATTTACATGTTTTAACACGATTCGTTCCTATGCATCGTTTTGCTAAATTGTTGCTGTTGTTGTTTAAAAAATCGTCTTTCTTAGGAACTAACGGACCAGACGATTTCAAATTTTTATTATCCGAAGATCTTTACAGCCGCTAGCTAGGATTGGGGCTATCAATTTTCTGTCGAGTCATAAGTGTCATAAGACAAAACTAGAAAACATTCCCTGGAATCTTTGTTTTCAACGGTGTTTATTCAAGATTGATTGGAAATGTAGAGGTCAGAGTACATATGGGGCGGAGTCAGAGGAGTGGGGGACTTTTAAAAGTAGGACCCATTTCAATTTTTGAAAAGGCCAAGCACATTCCTGTATTATCAACAGTGATTTTTCGTAGCTTGAAACGCTATTTGGACCACCCTTTTTCATTTCGCTGTTTTTGTTTTATTCCGTGGGAACACTTTTATATATCGCGTGGGAGCCATTTTCTATAACATACAGAAACACTGATAAGGCATAATAGTATTTGAATATTGGATGATTTCTTTTGCGATATTTTCAAAACAAGAGAGCAGTGCTGAAATATATGGAAACGAAGTGGTATGAGTATGCAATCTGCCACAGTAGTCTACCGGGATCCGTTTTGAGCCGAGCAGGTTTGAACTTACGAGAAAGCGTTACCGCCACAAGGAGCGCAATTTTTATTTTTGATGACGTCATAGCAAGCAAAGAACGAATCCCACAGAGCTTACAGAAATATTTAAAACAAATGAATGTACCAGCATTCTAGAGAAAAATACAATTTACAATTTTACCTACGGAAAATTTCAAAGCAATTGGTGAAGTAGTTAAGGAGAAAACATTTTTTTCACAACAAAAAGAGGGAAAGAAATACTAACATGGTAATCAATAATACCAAAACGAGAATATCGATCGGAGACCGAAGACTTATCGATCGAAACTGCAGTTTCAACTCATGACTCTATAGTGACACCGCGTGTCCCACAAGATGGCGCTAGTGGTTCGTCTAAAATATGCAAGTTAGAGTACCACGGGTAATCACGTCAACAACTCGTACAGAAACGAGAATTTGTATATCTAAATCAAAATTTTCAAATTTTCTATCCTTTTGAAATGCTTATATTATGCTTATAACAGAATTTTCTCCATTTGCAAAACTAGAAATACTATCTGAACTCTTTGTTTTCAACGTTATTCATTTATAGTTGAAGAGGATTGTAGAGGTAAGAGTATTGCAACATGGGCGTAGCATCGTAAAAGGTTTCACATCGCAAAATTTGTCCCCTTCCCTCATCAGAACCCATGAACTTCCAAATCATGAATCCGGCAGCATCACTAAGTGAGTTTCACGTCATATCCGCAAAAAAAAAAAACTTGTTTTGTTAACCTTTGAAAATCAATGCAAAATATTAGATATAACAAAATTAACGAAAGAATGTAACAAAGCATTGTGGACTCTCAACCTTAGGCCGTGATTTTATTTAGAGTTGGTATTTTTGCCAGTGTTTTCAATAACCGCAGTCCAATGCGTCATAATATATTTGTTAGAGAAAACTGATGAAATGGTTGTGAATTTAGGGATTACCTTCGAACACAAAAACTGGAAAAAAATTTAATTGATAGTCGAGTACATAAATCCCTCTCTACCCCAATTTTCAATTACAAATTATCGCCACCTCACTTCGTTAAATAAGGAAAGCTCCAAAAGTGGGTGTACCAAATTGGAGGTAACTAATTTTGTTCGCCTATTTAACATGAAGTTGTGTAAAGAGACTGAAATCTATGGACAGGGGGTATATTCACTTGGCTAACACAGACGGTCCTCGAACTCGTAATAGAACTAAAATAGGGAATATCAGAATAAAATTATGGGCTAACTTCAACATGGTACACACACTATGGGAATACCAAATAAGGTAATGTTGTAGTTTATTGATTAAATCTATTGCACAAGCGAATTTATGTACAGATTTGCTGACAAATCGCCAAGTTAAACAAGTTTTTGATACAGATGTAGCAAAGCCATATTTCATTCAACCAAATGTTGAAAAGCTGATAAAATTAGGCATTGTCGAAGCCAATCGTTGACGTTTTATTTTTAATTCAATATAGAATGAATGCCCTGGTCACATTTCTGTTTACCAAAAGATAATAGGTTTCGTGTATTTTATCAATGTGTGATTCTGCAAGTACTTAATTAATCATTTCACTTTAGTACTCACGCTATCTGGACAATTATGTTAAATTAAATATGTAACCGCTGATGCGATTTTGCTGTGACCCGTGCCCAAAACAGAGAGTGACGGGGTGTCTATCGTAAATCAAAATAGATCTTTTGTACAAAGCGCATCTACCCACTAACCTCTAATGCAAGCATGTTAGATTTGAGGAAAACACCACCGCGACGCTTTAGAATAAAAAATTAGTAATTATCCAGTTGCGGTTAGAGTTAGGTATGATTTGAAAATTTGAATTTCCAGAACAATATGCATTCCTAACCCTGATCCTAACTGGATAATTAGTAATTTTCCTATTTGAGAGTTGGCAGGGGCTTTGTACAATGGATCCATCAAATTCAGCAATGGCAATATTACGGTTTATACTGTTCGGTTAATTTATGCTTAGCATAATTTGTTTTTATGGTCGAAGAGATAGATTTTTTCAAGGTTATATACAAACTCATTTATTCGATCGCATTTCAATTTTCGCAAGGTGGTTTCATCGCAGCAGGGTCATTCACGTAATGGCTTATCGGTTGCGTCTTACTGTGCCAAACACTGAACTACAGCTTGAGAAGGTGTGCATGAGCCTCTATCGATATTTGTGGCGTTTTGAAAGATTTATTGCAAATAGGAAGCGCTTGGAAAGTTTTTACATCAATTTTTCTTCAACCAATTTAATACAAAAAAAAAACAGGCAAAAAAAAACTTGATTTAAAACAATTCTTTTTGAACAAATCCCTAGCAATACAGTTAGTTGTATTTGAATGAATTGAAAACTTGGAAATAATTATTGATTGATATGTAACAATCCTGGTTAAGATATATTGTGAACATCCGTCATAACAAAAATAAAATTGTAACAAGAGTTTAGAACATTATAAATATATAGCCACGCTTTCTTTCGCTCCGAGCAAGGTACTTTACAAGGAGCCATTTAGGCCTCACATTTCGCCTTTATGACCACTTCGCATAACAGTCGGGTCAAACACGTCTATTGAGAGTTGCGTAATGCACTGAAAGGGGAACCCAACACAGATAAATACACGTAGAAGTATCCGGTACACAATGCGGTGATGCCCCTGGTTGACGGAGTTAGGTACTTTATCGAACTAAATATAGCAAGATCATTGTTGACAAGTCGAATTCCTATTCCTTTTATGGTTATCGCGTTTCCATGCTCACAGTTTCGCAATAAGCAGAGATTGTATTACAGTAATTTATTGCTTCATACCGGAGCTCCATTCCAAATCATAAAGCAATTAATTGTATTCACAAATCTTGAAACGATAGTGCAGTCCATGAACAAGACATTTTAATTGAATTGGTTGTACTACAGAACACACCACGGAAATGTCAAATTAAGGTCTAAAGGCAAATCATACTTATAAAGTTCACCACTCTTGCAGAATATAGTCACATTAATTAGATGATCCATTTCATATCATAAAGCTCGTAACGACTGAACAGTTTGCAAACAAAGAATATTATCCGAATTTGACTTTTTTTTAACTATTCCTTTTAAGACCTGGTCCAGTGAGTTAAGCCATTACATAACATTTCTTTTATATTGTCATGGTAATTTTTTTGTTTATTTTCGATTTATGTCTTTATTTATAGTTAAATCTTATTTGTGTTCATTTTCATGAATAGCGCGTTTCGCCCCCATGCTTGAGGCAGCAAAGGTTAATGGCAAATGTGGATATTTTAATCAGAAGTGCCAGGGGCCTAAAGACTGAACACACACATATTAATGTCCAAATGGGATGATGGCAAATCTACATTAAACAAAAGGGCTACCCACTCTTTGAACTTGTGATATTGTTCGAGTGATTCTTATGTCCAAATTTATTCAAGAAATAGGATAATTTTCCGTTTAGCTTTTTAACGCATGGGGAATTTAGTATGAATTACTGAGTCGACTCAGTCTGGGTAATTAATAAATTTCGAATTGAATATGCTGCTGCGACCTGTTGCTCTTTCCATATATATATTATGTGTTATCAAATGAAGATTTTTTGATACGTAGCTAATTGAAGGGCTTATGATAACAGACTTACATTCTGTACTCTGAGTGGAAAGAACTATTCTTTTGCTTTTTAGTACGAGTAATATACGATGTGTTTGTAATGGGGTAATATATATGTCTACGATGAGTATTAATTGGAAAATTACCAATATTTTGTCATATTTTTTAAAAAGAAATTTTTGAGCAAATAGCGATGCATCCAACCTTATTCCTAATTAGGCTGGAAACAGAAATATTTGTCGATTATAC